AACTTCCACTCGGCACAGGTGGGTTGGTGCATATATACAGCTCTGGTCAGATGTATAGTGGGCCAGTTATAAAAACATGTTTGGCTAAAATAGGGTGGCGCCAACGAAGTCCTACAAAGAGCTAGCAGATCGATAATACTTTAACCTTCTTCCGAATACAAAATCTAAACTAACTTAGATATGGATTTACGATTACCATTGTAATATTTTCACCCCAAATGTAAAAGCGTGAGCAGGATGTTTCTGTTTGTAAATTACTGCACTGACCTTCTGCTAGGATGAATTGGTTACGTCTCACGTTTGCCACATATTTCAACGTTTACAGATTCAAATAGACTTTGTAGTTTATCTCCTATGCAATCTGCAAACAAAAATAATAATTTTGTAGTTGAAAGTGAAATGAGTTTACAGCACTAATTTGTAAAACTAAAAACAAAACCTTTAAGAGAGAACGACTACTTTATATACAAAAGCATAAAGTAGAGAATTCCGTACTTATCAAAAACTTTGTTTACGGTAATAAATTTACAGCATGTTGGCATGGGAACAATCATTGTAAATAAACTGTATCTGACAGCTATAAAACAATGTTGGCAAAATGTTTAAAGGGAAATATCAATGAAATCACTTCATTTTGTACAAATAACGATGACCACGAAAACAAATTTTGCTTATAATCTTCCCTTATAATATCCACCGGCAACTGACTTACCCACTAGAGCGTGCTTCCATTGAATATCTATTGTTCTCTGTAAGTCCGTGTACTATCCTTGCGTGCCGTGGTTGTCCTGTGCTTTATGGCCGTAAACCTGTTTGTCTGAAAACCACGCATCGTGCATACACTGGAAAGTATCCAAGTTTTGAGCTGTGTTGACGGCAATGAAGGCTGCCGTGGTTAATACATAGTTCATTCTATCTGGGATCCTCTGTCCTGGGTGTCCAGATTCCGGGACTCGACCCAACCAACCGTCCTTGTTGGCTTACTGCCAAACGCTACAATCAAAATGGCATGCGGTGGGTTGAACGATCGAGAACGGCAGATGCTGTCGTCAGCTATTTAGCAGCTGGAAATTCGCTTGTCTATGGCGGTTCTTCAACTGACACAGCGATTGCTGGACGCAGGATGCGTAACACGCTGAATAATTGTGGGTTATGGTGGAATATTTGGCAGTGTCCTTGAAAGATACCACATATTCTATTATGAAAGAAGTAAACTTAAATCAAAGCTTGAAACTTGGTACGAAAACCTTATCCGCAAAGTATCAAATTAACTCCAAAGACAAAACCATTCTTAATATTCGATCCATTTATTTCCTGTGGAATATATAAAGACTTCACAGCAATTCAACTGGTTGGACTGAGAACATAGAACATGCAACGGAGATTTAAATCGATTTGTGGAAGGCACAACTGGAGTCTGTGGTAGCTTGTTTATAGCTCTGCAAATATCTGATCTGTTTTGCTGGATTTGTGGATGGACCTCTCCTGACTGCTCACAGCAACTGTTCCTGGGTCATTTCACGTTCTCAGTCGGTGTCGGTGTCGGGAAGGTGTAGGGGTGTGTTTCATACAATGGCCCCCGCAATGGGGTTGGGGCTGCTCGAGTGCATAGGTCCATTCAATGGTGGGGAATTTGTCTGACAGAAAGGCCCATTGTGGTAGCCACACACGTTATATGCTGGAAATATTTCTCATAAGACTTCCCATTCCTAATATTCAATCAAACGTAATCATACAAAATTGAAGTAATTTTAAATTGGTATGTACCATGAAAGGTTTTTTCTGAATTTTGGTAAAAGCATTGTCGGCCATTTTGGCTATTTAAATATTTTCACTAAAAACCAAAGCAAAGTTACTATTTCGTTTCTACATCAGAGCAAAATATATTTCATTTTGAAAGTTGCACCTAGCTTTCCATTAGCTTAAATAGAATGACATACTTTTACAATAATTTTGCTTTAGGCTAAAACATAAATTACTAAAACATAAATTTTCTTCGAATTTGAACATGATTATTAAATGGAAATTGCTATTATTAATCTGTTTCTATGGGAATTAAAAAGGAATTATTTATTGCATTTATCCAATATTTGCAATTTTAGTAAATGATAAATGAAACTGCTTTTTTCAAAGATGAAGAAATATTTTAGAAAGTAAAATAGGAATATTTTAACTCATTTATTTTTTCTATTAGATTTTAAACATTTTGTAGACCTTGACCTCAACTCAAATTCCTCCTAGTGTGTGCTCTATAAACTCCTTAAAACCTTTATTGCCTAACTTCAACTTGCTGCCAGATTGACCCTTGAACTATTAATGTTTACAAGGTCATAGGCAAAGCGCAGTGCCAAAATCAACAAAAAAAACCCACCTGGCAAGAAGCAAAAAACCCACAAAACCCGGACACATTAAGGGACCATTCAATCACAAACGATTATCTCCGGCCCTATCAAACATCTGTACATCGTCCGTCCTCACATCTGCTGATCCAACTGACCAGAAGTCGATGCGAACTGCCACAAATGAGCGGCGTTTGTTTGCGGTCGTCTCGGACGCATCTCGATCGGCCAGGCGGGAAAGGTCCTGAGAATTCTGGACCTGTTTAGGACATTCGGTCATTTCTATGCCTGCGGTGGATCCATCTTTGCTCTATAGTGCCCGCACTTCCATTGGTGTGTGCACTTGACTGGATTTATCGACAGTGGGCCAGGCGGCACAGCTTTGCTGGCTGTTAGAGAGAAGAGAGAGAGAGGAAGAGTAGACCACAAGCTATTTCAGGTACCTAATCGCATACTGCCAAAAACAATTCGCTCTCGACCAGCCCCATTGCCCCAAAAACAAAGACCAAACAGCCAAAAACGTATCCGGAAAACTGCACACCACAACAAAAGAGCGAAACTGCCTGGCAAATTAGCAACAAGAACTGCCGCATTGGCATCATTGAAATTGTTGGCTTTTTTTTTTTTTGTTTTGTGCCTTTGGCGTTCTTTGTAGTTTTGACTTTATCGAAAAGCCTTGCTTTTTTTCTTGACGTTTCGAATTTTCACATTTAGTATACCGCTACTCGTGGAAAAAGGAGCATGATAGTACTCTAGGATATCTTACAACAGTTTCAGGAAGAATTTTTAATCAAAAGAGAGTGCTTAAGGAAGTGTTATTAAACTCATTTGATATTGGTCGATCGATGCAGAAACGACTAAGAGGCTGACTTTCACTTATAATAGTTATAAATCATCTAAAAGTATGCAACAGAATTTGTTAAATAAGACCAGCAAACCGGGTATCCTGAGTTCAAGCGCACGAATGTATCGCAGTTGCCAGATTTTTTGTTTAGTATTCCCTGCGCCTTTTGCTTGCGCCTGCCTGTCATCAGACGCCTCTCCTTTTTCCCCCCCATTCCAGCGTCCCAATCAGACTTGCCACGCCCCCTCTGCCATTGTTCGAGGGACATCTAGAACTATAAATCAACAAATTTGACCAGCAGAATGTGCAAAGTGGTAAACAAAAAGCGACTTCGGAAGCAGTTGCAAGCCAAGGACAAAGGAAGAAGAGTGGCCTGTGGTTGCACTGGGGGATCCGAGGACTCTCTCTCTCTCTAGTCTCTCCTGTCAGAATCCTGCCATCTGGACGTCTCTTTAGAGGAGATGTCTGTTGATGCCAATGCTGTGTTGCCCCTCCCCCTGCCCCTGCTGACGATGGCCATTATTGGTGGTAATCAAGCGTGATTAATTGAATTGAGTTGAATTTTTTTTGCATAACATTCTCTGTGTGGGCCACATAGGACGTTGTTATGGGTTTGTAGGAAATGGGTTTTCGGTTTGTGTTCGATGAGAAAGTGTGAGGGAACTTGGCTCTCGACCATTGCACACTACACTTCAGCACCTTACTAATGCAATGGCTTAAATAAGTGTTTTTAGGTAGTCTTTTGGACTTATTACACGTGGATTGCAATTTACATATTCACATTTTCAGCCTAATAGGTAGGCAAATTAAAGCAATTAAGCAAGCACTCAGGAATTAATTTTTAGTATTAACAAAGGGAATGTTCCCACTGAAAGCGTAATTATTCTTAACGACAAGCATATGGATTTGAAATTACAATGCAAAGGCCATTAAACTTCAAACGATTACGCGATCAAAGGCATTGTGAAAATATTTAAGGATGCTAATTTATGGGTTTTGGATGCAAATATGTGTGGGTGTGCTACGGCAAATTGAATAAAAACTGCATTTAAGTATCAATTTTATTAAATTTTTAAAAGGGAAATTTCAAAACGATTTAACTGGAGATTTTTCAAATCAACTTATTACATTTTTTAATAACTCTCTGAGATATCTTCCAGTACCTCAATTTCCTTGTTTACCACATTAAATTCTTCTTATTTTTTTGTGGTTCTTGGCTGGTAAATTTAAGCGTTATTATCCTCCCTAGCCGTGCTGGGATTCTATAAAAATTGCGGCGGCAGGTGCCTGAATTGCCGTTGCTATTTGTACCTCCCGTCCCGTAAAATGAGTAATCTGACTACGGCGGTGTACGCCAGACCAAATAACCCGTAATTGTGTTGTGGTTTCTCCGGGCCTTCGTGTTTTACTCTTGTTGACTTTATATTTACTCCAAAAGAACACGATATGGGGCTAAGGAATCAAACTGCCGACAGGGTCTAGGATAACCTTTTATTTAGTATATTTAGATTTGATCTAAGTAGGAACTTTATGAGTTATTCTTTAAATATATTATTGGGAATATTATTTTTAAAGTAAACCTTTAAGCGCTTAATAATCCTTCAACAAACCCGATTTTTTTAAAACAAACTTCAACTGAATTACCAACTTTTGGTTGTAAAGTTTTTATTTGATTTACAAAGTTTAGAATCGAATAATTTGATTGGTAGTTCGCCTTTTTGGCCATGATGATGAAATGTGACAAACCTTTTATAGGCTAAATATAGAAGTAACGACTCATCACTAACCTCTCACCTGTATTCTCTGTCTCTTTCAAGGTAACGACTCGAATCCAGATGATATATTGCATCGATGCCTCTCGTGCAGGCGCATTAAGTTCGCTTATTGCCGGCAATAAACTCATTTACGTACTCGACCCGAGCACGTTGCTCCTTGTGGCAGGACCCATCTCAATTGCTAGGGAACGAAAAGGGGAACGGGAACTGAGGGGATGTGCGGCGTCCTCGTACTCGTCAGGTACAGAAACAGAAACAGAAACAGAAACAGAAACAGAAACAGATACGGATACGGTTACTGTGCCCAAGTACTTTACGCGAGTGTTTAGGTGTGTGGGCTGAGCAAACCAAGCAAGAAGCAAACAAACAACAAAAGAAAGAAACAAACAAACAAACAAAACCAACCGAGAGGCAAACAAATTGCTAAAATAAATGTACGACGGGGGGCAGAAGAGGCAGCAACAAAGACTCAACAAAAGGAAGAGGACTCGAAAAAAAGAAGAACCAAAATCGGTATCGGCATCGGAATCGGAATCGAAGAGGTCCCATTAATGAACCAACCAAGGTGAGTAACTGCCGGGAGTGACAATCATCGAGGAGTGGGTGCACCTGGAGAAAAGTGTCGTCATTAGATTTGTGATAGCTAAAAGGAAAGCTGATAAAGGAAAGCTATTAATGATTCAATTTTCCAAGCTAACAAAAGTATCTTGGGTTATATTTTGTTAACATTTAAATGAGAACACATTTTAGTTACATTTTTAAACTGACATCTTTTTTTTGGAATTTGTATTGTTTTTTGTTTGATTTTTCCTCCCTGTTTGTAAATGTAGAATCCCCTCATTGATAGCGGAATGATGGATGGGCATTGTTTCAGTTTTGTGGGGCTTTGGGTTGTGTTTTTGTTTCGATTTTGCACTCTGCACTCTGACCCGACTTGTTAAGACAAAACCCCAGCAAAAGTTGCCAACCTCTTTGCATAAATCACAGCCCAGCCCACTGATAACTTTAAAAATCAATTTGGGGCCCAATGTGTCGCCAGGTATCAAAGATTAAACTTTCCCACTGACACGAGGGCTCTGCTGGGCTGAAGGCAGCTGAACCTCAATTTCGCCAGGGACCTCGATTCGGTCTGGTTGGGATGGATTCGGTGTGTGCTTTGGTTTGGTTTATCGATCAAACTCTCGGCGCTGCAAGTTGGCCAGGTGGGCTCGGTAGACGGATGCGGTTCAGCCTCCCTCCCTCCTCGTGCAATCTCCCAATCCCCAACAGAACTTGGAAACTTTTGCTGCGCCTTTTGATTGCTCAGCAAAATGTTACATTACCACAGCCACATAAAAGCCGGCATCGTAATAATGTGCTCAGGCCAGGGGCATAATTCTAACTCAAACCGAGCCATCACCACGGTTGTCTATATACAGTCTGTCCTCTACGGCTTGAACTTTCATTCTGTGATGGAAAAATAGGAAATTTTTAATTATTTTTATAATGAATTTTGTATTCAGTTCTTAAAAGTCTAACTTATCCTTAAAAAAGTCAGGTCTATTATAAGAATGTCAGAGCAAATATAAAGTGTTTAGACTTATAGAGGTTTCACTGTACAGGAGGTGTTGGAGCAGGCCAAATGGAACTTCATCGGTGACTGGTCAGCGGTTCGAGTAAATCCTGCCGGGGCACAAGGCAATTCGCGCATAAATCGCCTCCGGGGTCCTGGGATAGTGGTTGTGTTATTTTAGCGGGGTTCCTCCTGGACTCCATCTCCATCACCCATCGGCCAATTTGTATGTGGTTCACGTCGTCCGAGTGCGTCAGCGAGGCCGGAATGAAACTTGCTTTGGATATAAATGTGTGAGGGTTTGAGATCTGAGCTTTGAGCACTGAGTTCTGGTGTTCTGGTTGAGCCAGGGACTGGGACTGGAACTGGAACTGGGATGAGGGCTGCAAATGGCACGGGTCTGGTTCTTATGCTGATGACATCATAACAATAAAAATTAAATTGTTGCTGCTCTGACAGGCAGCGGAAATGACGGAGCTTCGCGGCTAGTTGTTTTTGTCGTTGTGGCGGACAGGATTTTGTTGCTGCAGTGAAATTGAAAGAACGCCTTGAACTCGCCTGCGACCTAAAAGCACCCCCTTCTCAACCCAATCCTCTGCTACCCCCAGCTACACGCCCACGCCAACGTCTTCTGGAGTGGGGTCTTGAATATAAAATTTTATCACAAGACACACATTTAATTTAATTTAATGAGAGGCGAACAACATGCTCGCTTATCTTTAAACGTTTCTGCGATTTTGTCGGCCCTGCCTGTCGTGATACAACGTATTTTTGAACCCACTCCGGGGAATCCTCACGGTCCTCACGGAATATTTAAATTGGTTTAGGAGGTGGCGGCAATTATGCAGGATGGTGGTCCCTTTCCCTCTGGTTTATACCTTTTCTATTACCAAATTCTGGGAGTTATCACCCCGAGGTGTAAACATAGACCACTTAAAAACGGGGTGTTAAATATTCGAATTTTAAACAAGTTCCCTTCCTTGTTTTTCTTTGGCATTGCCAAGTGTTAAGCTTCTGAAATTTGTTAAGAAACATATTTATTTCTGTTTAAAAATGAATTCTTTAATATTTTATTAATTTTCTTGAAGTTTGTCAAGTGGTTAAATGAAAATCTAAAGCGAATTTCCATTGCAAACACATGACTCCCAGTTGGGAAATTGCCTGAACCGACCTCTTCCCTTTGGTAAATGGAATCACATCATGTCACTGTTTTGGCTCGACCTTTTGTGTGGCTCCTTTGGCTTTTGCAGTAATGTGATTAGGAGGCGGTATTCCCAGGACCCAGGGGAATATGTCTGTCGATTAGGCAACGTGTTAAGAACACTTAATTGAAAATAACTTGCTAGATGCCCTCTCTACCAAAAGGCACCCCGTTACCCCATAATCCAATCCTGGCTGTAGTAACTCCTCATCCCCATCTTCGTCCTTGAGCTGTCAGCACCCCAGGATGTGGGTGGGTGAGTGGCATGAAAGATGGTTGGCTTTATTAAAGGCCCGCCTGAACTCTCTGGCCCAGCTTAATTATACATTATTTTGGCCTAAACACAAGCAAACACACCGGGTTCGCCCCGCTGGCTGGTCGAGTGAGTGAGTTAGTGTGTGTGAGTATAATATGGATGTGGATGGTTAAACCCACTTGGAGGGCCCTAGGATTTGGGGGGCATGTTGCGTGCTTGAGGGGGCGTCCAGGCGTGTGTGCAATGATTTATTTGCAACAGCCAGGGGCAACCTGGCTGTCAACTCTCGAGCTGCGAGTGCCACACTCTACCTCCCTCCCTCCCGCCACATACGCACTTTGTATGTTTATTTACTGTTATATTTATGTGCAAATAATATTAATAACAATAAAGTTTTCTTGCCCGTTTTATGGCCAAGTTTGCTTGCCCACCCATCATCCTTTCCTACACAAAAAAATGAGAGAAAAAAAAGCAAGGAAAATCAGGAAAATAGGCACAGGATTGTTTATCGTTGCTTTGGCGAAAGGGCTTCTTCTCCGTAGAAGAGAGATCTTAAAGTTATGTTGCGAATATAAATGTACGATTATGGCCAATGAACCGAACGTGACTGAGCAGCCGAAATATCAATAAGCAGGCTAAAATTAAAGGAAAAGCGAAGGCTAATCGGACTACCGAATCTGTAAATATTTAATATCAATATTATTGATAGGCCAGCAGATTTATACATTCTTCCCTTTGTTGCTTCAGCTGTGCTTTACATTTTGTGAAAATGTTTTCTTTTTGGGCAGGCAAAATTTGTACAACTTTAATGAAATATTCGAATGAAACTGCATCGGACTTGACTTGGCTTTTTGACTCGTCAAATTGGTTTCCGATTCTGGCTGATTAATTCAGTTTTGCCAATCGTCGGTTGACAGCAAAATATGCACATTGATTAAACTTTTTGGATTTTCCATCGATTGCCAATCGCTTTCCATCGCATCCGGATCCGGAAAATTATGTGAAAACCCCGGGGCCAGGCAAAGCAGCTCGTCGTCGCGTCTCGTCTGGTCTCGTCTCTCATTTGAAATGCTAACACGTTTTCCCAATTTCCATAACAACCGAAAACTTTAAAGGTTGCATACACAAATCGAAGGGCGAAAAATAGCAATAGCGGTCGGGGATTATGACTGAATGGATTATCCTAAATTGATTTGCTCTGAAAGTGCTTATTTCATTTACTTATTGTTGCTTGCTCTTCGGAGGAAGTTAGTTTTGTATTTGAAATATTCATGTAGTGGCAAAGAGGGTTACTGGGGGATATATTTTCGATTGAATATGGTAAAAGGCAACTCTTTAACGGAATTTACTTGGTTTTTTTGCAGATTTCTGTAGACCAAAAGCACCTACTCCTCGACTGATAGTTAGGTTATTATTAAAACCAAATCATTAACCCCTTTTCGCTCCTAATCTCTCATTACAGCAAGCCAACGAAAGTTAAAATAATAGAATAAGCAATACAGGCAAACTACTTATATAACGAACTCGCTTTAATCGCACTTAGTGTTAGTCAAACAACAAAAAGGAACACATCTCGACGTGTAACTTGGGGAAAATCAACGCTTCATAAATTAACGAACTAGTGAATAAAGAACCACGGACCAGCTAATTTAAAGTACATCCATTTTGGGGACTCGAACCAACGGGGAGAAGGATCTAGCACCACGGCGAAGGGCGGCCGTAATGGGTGGTGGCTTTGCGGCGCCACCGATTACATTAGCCAGCAACCAGCGATCAGTGGCTGCGGACCACGCCCCGTTACCCATTCCGGCGACGGATATGCACGAGAAACTCCTGGAGAAGGGAGGACAAGACTGAGAGGACCAATCTGCTGGGCAGGTCCAAGGACAAACCGCCCAAGGACAAGCCGCCCAAGCAGTCCAAGTTTGCCGAACGTTTGCGTCGTTCATTTCGACGCGGTGATCATCGATCTTTGGAGATCAAACGGCAGGAGCCAACGCCAGAGGAAGTGAAGGCCAAGAGTCGGGCCACTCCACCGCCACCGAGTAGTCTGCATAAGGACAACAATAACCGGCTGCCCTTTACCTTTAGCCATTTGAATTTGCCCGGTTTGGGTTTGGGTGTGGGTCTCGGTGGTCACATCAATCCTGCCCTGCTGCTCGACAGTCCGGACGAGTGCACTCCGCCGGAGTACGCCTATCAGCATTTGAGCAGCGTTGCCACCACCAATTCGAGTACTTCCTTGGAGAGCAGCTGTGAATTGGGTGAGCTGAGTGGCTCCCAGAATAGTGTCTACTATTGGGCCTCCATGGGTGGCGAGGTGAGTACTTCGTCGGGGGGAGCAGGAGCAGCAGGAACGACAGGAACAGCAGGAACAGCAGGATCTGGAGCAGGAGGAGTACCCATCGAAAGCCAAGATAGACGTCGACTGGAGACGCAGAGCAGCAACCGCAGTGATCAGCTACCCATTACCACAAACGCTTCCGCAGTTCCCGGGAACAGCAGTAGGAGTTGCAGCCTGACCAGCGAGAGTAGCTCCATCCGGCTGACCCGACTTCAGAACTTCCTTTTCAAGAGCAGCAACGAGAGCTCCAGGAGCTGTCAGGGTCACTCCAACGAGGGATTCACAGTGTCCTCGCACAATTCCTCCTCCGGGGAGTGGGAGCAATTGGGTGCCTATTTGTCCAGTAGCAGTGGCGTGGGTGGCGGTCATGACTTCCAGGGCGGATCCTTTCCCGAGGAGAGCACGCCCGATGAGACGGATGGCACACTTCCGGTGGAGACCAGCAGCAGTGGCGGAGGTGGAGGCTACTATCAGTACACCCTGACCTCGCCGAATAATCCCTTCCTGCCGGAGATCACGGCTAGAACGTATCACAGCACCTACAGCGAAGATGGGACGGTTGAGGGTGGTGACCCGGCGACGGATGACCTTCAGCTGGATGTGAATGTAAAGTATGGATCGGCTAGGGCAGGTACTTGCTCTGCCCAGCTGCCAACGCCTTCCTATAGTCGAGCTGGATCGCAGGAGTCGACGCACAGCGAGGGGGAGGACCACCTGGTCCCACGCCTAGTCCCGCTTCCAGTTCTTCCTCCACGCCGGGCAGGCATCGAAGGAAGCTGTTCAGCTTGAATTCACCCACCCGATTGCTGCACCACCAGCAGCAGCAGGCGCCACAAAGTGGAGCCACCTCGGCCTCGCCACCATCCGGCGGAAGTAGCAATGAAGGCGGTGGATCCAGTGGCAAGTTCAATTCGGCGAGTTTGGTGAGAAGTTTGAATCCATTTCTGCCCAGTGTTACGTCACCGAAGAGGACGCCGCACAAACAGGCGGCGGTGACCTCGCCGGGTGCCGTGACCCCTGACCTCAGCACAAAGCGCGAGGAGTTCCTCCGGGCCACCATGAAGATCTGTTTGGTGGTCTCGCCGCCCAACAGCAAGCTGCAGGTGAGTCATGGACAAAAAACTGGAAAAACTCGAAGGGAAATGGTCAACAAATTATGCGCGGCCTTAATCAAATGTTTACTTTGCGAAATGAGAATAAACATATTTTCACTCTTATGTAAGCTCGTATTTTTGTTTTATTTCCTTTTTCTGTTTTTTCCCCACTTCGTTTTGGTTGTTTGTGTTTTAAGTTGGGATATTAAATTACAGAATTACTCGTGAACAGCGGCGAAAATGAATTTACAGCCATGACGTCAGTCAGGACATGCATCCTTAAGGAGGCTTTAACACCTATAAATTATTTAATAGACTCTTAAGTTTGTGTTTAAAACTTTATCTTTATTTGACTTTATGTTTATTTCATAAGGAATTTGCCTTGATGCTTCAGTTCTTGGGGGAACACTTCGAAAACAACACTTGCAATGCTTAATCTGACCTTTAATTTTGACTTAACAGTCATTTAATTTACCAAAATGAGATCAATTTTTTATAAACTAAATTATTCTTGTACGTGAGCTTTTAAAGATGCATAAAATCAGCTTGCCAACGGATTTTATGCCTGAGTGGAATAACAATAAACGACTCTGACCGCCATGGATTTCATAAATATTATAACAGAGACATTATATACATTACGTATACGCAGTGTGTGATTGCATAGAAACCAATATGTGTGCATATATGTGCTCGGAGGGGAATTCAATTGTCGCCGGAAGATATTTAGAGGCATTAGCGCAAGTGCAGTCAAGTAATAAATTGCATCAGCGATTTGTCCAGCCCACAATGGGAGATCCCAGATCCTAACGACACCCCCACGAAAATACTCAACAAACTGCTGGGACAATCCCAGTACTCTTCCATTTCTTATGGCATTGCAATGTTTTGTTGGCGAGACCGTGGCTTTGCCATCTATTCAGATTATCATCAGATTCCATCAAGAGAGTCTGGCAAATATTTTCATACGAGCTGGCATTCAGGGACAAATCTCTGTCGGCTGCCTTCGGGCATCTAAATGGGCCACTCCTCATCCGTAGTCATAATTTGTACGTTTATTACAAAATCTAATCCTATTAGTGGCAGGCTTTCTTCACAGGCAAAGAAAACAGAATGAAAACAATTATGGCAAAAATAAACTAAATGAATGACACGAAAATAGGGATAATAAAAAAATGCCAGGGATTCTGAGGCGAACCATAAGCTTGGTGGTCTTAAATTCTATTTAGAATGTGTAATAGGAAATCTCATGAATCTGAAGTTTAACTCGAATCTCTTTCACTCCCTTTGGGAGGTATCCTTTACTTTGGTCTTGAACTTCTCTCTGGACAGGACATAATTTGTCAGGGTGTCGGACTTAAGCCCCAAAGTGGTTTTCCATGTTACGTGTTCTGTTGCTTCTTTTCCAATCGCTGTCCCCTTTAAGTAGCCATGTTAACATGAAAATTCCGTGGGCAAGACACACGTGTTGAAGTCTTTAACTGATTAGGTAATCACGTTAGCAACATTGTACGTGCCAGAGAAGGAGAATATAGGAGAAGTTCACATACTCGTATATGAAAAATTATGCAATGCCGCATTGCACTATTCCTACGCAGTATAAAAACAATCTGAACTATTATTTCCTCAGCCGGGACTCAACAATGGTAAAGTGTTCAGTTTATGGGGACCTACGAGTATGAATTGCTCTTGAATATTTTTTGTTTCTGTGTGGGAAGCTAAAGGCCAAACTAAGCCAAAAGACCAAAGAGTCAAAAAGGAAAAATGTATTTCTTTGACAGTAGCAACTATGAGGTATCCTTTACTCGGAAAATGAAAGTCTAACCCTTTTTAATAAAGAATGCTACAAGCTTAGGCATTCATAAACTTGATTATTTCATAAAAAACTTTATTTTTAACTTTATATTATCTAGCCACCTAGCCTCCTCGCTAGCTCACACTACTTATATTATCTAGACTAGCCCAATATACCTTCATCCTGTAGCCTTTCAGCAGACAGTAAGCCAAGCCGCAGTGGGCGAGCAACTCACAATATAACCGGAAACAAAAACATAAACCAGAGTAAAGGGCAAGGCAAACCATGGCAGGGTGAGGGTCGCCAGCTGGAAATTGCCAAAACAGAATGTGAAATATTGTCGTCAGCAGGAATAATAGACCAGTGCCCGTATCCTTGGGCGCACTCCGGGGGAGTTCTGGTACTGGTTCTGGTACTGGTCTTGGTCCTGGTGGGTTCTAAGGGAAGATTAGCGGCATCAGGGGGTAGGTAGCTGCTGAATGGCATCCGTCCCGAAGCTTAAATTCTCGCAGCTCGGATGCCATGCATGCCTCATTCTAGATTCGGTTAGCAGATATACCTTCCTCCACTTAGTGTTCCAGCAAGGCGGAGCAATCCAATTGAAGTAAATCCCAAATAGCTGGGAATATGACAAGGAGTGCTCTCTGAGAATTCGGTGGTAATTAACCAGCACCACAACAGAAGATATTTCTAAGAAGTTGCTGATTATTGTTGACAATTTGCAAGGATTGTTTGGCTTGAAAAGTTGAACATTTTAAGGAAAATAAGAGTCGCTCCTTTAAACTAGTTCAGGTTTTATTCCAAACCGACTTTAAATCGGAAATGAAATTACTAAACATTTACAACTTCCTTGGATTTCACTTTGGTTAATGCGAATTTAAGTACAAGGTTTTTTCCGTCAAGCACAATTTAAACCGAGGCATTGAGATGTGTAAATCGCAGTCAGTTGGGTGGGTGGGGTTCCTTTACAAAGGACGAAGGTTGATGGCTGATGGGCGAGGCATTGACTTTGAGGCGGACCCTGACTTTGGTCCACGTCCACACTCACTCGGCCAGCTTGGGGGCACTTGACTGATGTAATCTCGGTGCATTAGGCGAGGACAGGAAACCTTCGAGGACACGTCTAGGGCTCTTGCCCGCTGGTGCAATCTTTTTGTTCTCGATGCATCTTTTCGTTGACGGTTTGCCATAGCCATGCCCTCACTTACGCCCTCGCCACCGCAAGATGCCAAGTTTGCCATATTACCCAGTTTGCCACCCAGCCAGCCGCAAGCAATTTATTTTTTCTCCAGAAAATGCACAGAGCACTTTTCATTGTCTCGCGACGCCCGGCACCAAAAGCATTCAAAACATTATTCTCGGCATTAAGCGCGAAATATTCAGTAATTCGATGTGGCTTCAACGTCCCTTGGCTGCAGTGCCTTGATGGCTTTGTGTCAGTTCCGGCCACGAAGGTCGGTCGCCAGCAACACAATACATTTCCGAAAGCATCTTAAAATATACAAAAGCGTATCCGCTGTCGGGCTTTTTATAGCTTATAAACTAAAAAAGAAAGTCTAAGCTTATCGGCATGAAGACTAGTTGCAGATTTATGATCTGCCAATAAATCAGGCATCTTAGTGGCTTGCATCTAAGGAATAACTTAATCGAAATTTTTTACAAAAACTGTTTGGTGTTTTAATGATTTATTGCTACTTCTAGGATCTTACTTAATGATTTCCCTATTTTTTATGTTAAATCTTATTTAATTTGCATACCCGAATGCCCTTTTTTACTTTTAATAACAATAACATTTCACTTCATCCATTCATTGAATTTTTTGTAGTTCACCTAGCAATTTCAGGCATCCATAAAGAACAACACTTTATCCGCTTATATTTAAATTGCATTTTTTATTTGAATTAAACCGAACCGACGGGGGTGTAGCATATGAACCACAACAATATGTGAAAAGCCCTCAATAACGCGAATAAAATTTAATTATAAATATCTGCGTCACGCTTGAATGATTTCACCCAATCTCACATATAGATTTCCGATTTCATTTTCCATTGCAGCTGAAATCGAAGAGTCTCACGCACTTGGATGGCCTCGACTCGGGTGTGGTGGCCTGCCAGCACGGTCCTCCGGGAATGGCCACCAGCACTCACACTACCACCACCGCCGCTGGCAGCACTACAGCTACGACTGGACTGTTCGCCACTAGTGGAGCACCAGGATCGCTGGGCCGACAGGCCAATGTGGTAAGTGGCAAACAAGTGACCAGAGGGCACATGCTAAACCACCGGCCAACTGCTAGGACTTGGCCACTTAGTCAGCACATCCATCTTGCCCTAGAGTGTGCGTTCACTGGGGGAAAAATGCGATTTGAAATCAAGATGCTAGAAACTTTATCTTAAAAAAATTATGAAAAAAATTTAAAATATTTTTAAATTTATATATACATAAAAGTTAGGTAAAGAAATCTTGATTTTAGATTGTGTTTAATCCGTTTGTAGTGTGTGGACTGTAGTGTGTTTCCACTGTAAATTCGCCATTCCTGGGTTTCAACCCCTCGAGAGGAAGTCCGTTCGCAAATTGATAACAAATTACTTTGCTTGCTGCTTTCGCCTGACTTTGATTTGTGTCTATTTTTGTTTTTTGTTGTTTTTATTTTTATTTTTAAGCACTTATTGCTCCACTTTGTGTAGCTGTCATTGATTTAAGCACAGTCAGTAGTTTTTCCTTGGACTAACTATTTGTAACTGCTAGTCATTTGGAAGACTCCCCCTCGTCTTCTGTTGTAAGTTTTAAACAGTACGTGACTTTTCTGCGATTTTAAGGAAAAGCGGTTGTACCAGCATTCCTTGCCATTGAATTGTAATTTGTAGCAAATATTTTTTTAATTTAAAAATACTTTAACTTAATTTCCTGAGCACTCTTTTAATATTTACTTTAAATGTTTGGTAACTTAGTCTTGCTTAACCATTGGCAGTGTTTAAGGACTTGCACATTAGAGTAGACTCTATGGTTTATATAGAGTGTAGTACCATGAAACCACCAACAAAAATATGCTCACAATATCTGTCTTCTACTCTCTGTTCTCTCTCTCCTTCTCTTTCTCTTTCTGTTTCTGTTTCTCTCCCCCTCTCTGTCTCTATATATTACCTAAATGGGCTTAATAAACTTTGGTTTTTATTTCTTTGCTGGCCGCTTTAAAAAAACCCGAAAAAACCCGAAAAAAAACCCACAAAAATGCCACGAAAAAAATCTCAGACTGAGAAGGGTGAAACGGCGGGCATTTGTCTGTCTCCCTCGGCAGCAGCAGCACCACCACCACCCAACACCCAAGCTCACCCACCGCACCAACCACCCACAATTTACACCCAGGCACCGCAGATCGTGCGGCGGACGCCTTCGCTGATGCTATCACCCACGTTCGATGAAACCAACACAACGACGACGGCCAGTTCGTCCTGCTTTGGTACCGGTCACTCCAGTGCCGGATCCTGCCACCAGCACCACCATCTGCACCAGCAAAACCACCAGCAACTGACTAGTAGCGCCAGCACCACCGGCACCACCACCACCAACACGGCAACTCATCCGATACCCTCCTCCAAACACTTTCAGTTCGTTGGCGAAGTGGCGGCCACATCGTCCTCGACCCTGAGTCCCTACAGCACCACATCCGCGGCATCGGGTGGTGGAGCTAGTGGTGGTGGTGGTGGTGGAGGCGGCGGCTTAGCCTCCCCTGTCGGATGCTCCACATCCTCCGGTTCGACGGTGAAAAAGAAATCCTCGTTCATGAAGCGCAAGAAGCCACTGCTGACGCGCAGCGAGGTGAGTGGGAATCAACAGAGAGTCACCTGGTCAAAGGACAAGCAGATCTCAAATGGCTGCACAATCAGAAGGTCTTGTCACCTGAATGTACCTGTTAAAATGAGTCCACAATTAACGAGTACTTGCTAAAAAAAAAAGATGGTGCAATGATGATGATGAGAAGGATAACTTTTAAATGGGATGAGGATGAGGGGAATATACATTTTTAATTTCTTTATTTGCCTTTGTCGCCTTAATCAGCAAAAGTTGTTGTAGAACTTTCCCCATCTTTCCTTTCCATTCCATTCCGCTGTCCTATCTACTTTCCTTTCCTTTCTTTGGATACCCAAATGCCGACGCTTTTCTGTCACTTGCCAAGCGGAGAATTCCGCCCAGTTTCCCGCCAACACAAATACGGAGAATATTTCTTGATGTTTGCTTTTATTTCAGTAGTTTTTGTGGGCGGTTGGGATTCTGATTCACTTACCCCGTATCCACCCCCCGCCCTCCAGATGCAATCTTCACACTTCAGAGGGCCATCAAAGAGAGTGCTCTGGCAGCAGTAGGAAGTCATTTTTGTCAGTGGATCTCTTTGTGGCCCTTTTGAAGGCTAGATTAAAAGGCTCGGTTCGTCGTTTTTTGGGCCTTGAATTTACAGATTAGGTTGTACATCAAGCCAGGAAGTGGTAGACCAGAAGTACTTCAATGTCAATCTGTTTCTCGATTTAATTGCGAATTATACATTCGTTTAGGTATCCAGTTCCGAGTTCTTCTCCGTGTCATTCTGCCTGGATTCGTCGCAGCATCCTGATGAAGAGTTTATACCTGCGACCAAGGGCGTAACACTACTGTGAGTCATTTTTAATCCGCTTGTGGCTAAATTTAGAATAGAAATGATAACGCGGTTTTCTTTTTTTAGAAACGCACTCAGCCACGCCCTGCGTAGGCGGAACCTCAGCTTTACACAAATCACAATTACGGACAATAATCCCACGCCCAGTTTTTTAGATGCAGGTAAGTCGTTTACGTAGATTTCCCCCGGATTCATTTCCATTTCAAGCTTTTATACTTCTCGAACGACAGGTCCTCCGCTGCTTCCCGTTTCCGTGGATGAGCAGACCGACGTGGAGAGCCTGGCTGGACACCATCTCTGCATCACCGAACGAGGCAGCAACCGCAAGCCCCTGCAAAAGGCAGCATCCTTTGTAAGTTTTCCTAGAAATGGGTAAAGGTTTCATATTTTGTGGGCGAACCGAAAAGTTGACATGAAAAGGTATAATAATGTAACCTGAGTTAAAATGCCACGCATGTTAACTAAAGCTAATCTAAAGGGACTTGCTATTTAATATACTAAATAGCAGGGTAGAATGGTTTTAAAGTCTGACATCAAATTAAATTTATTAGCTGGAAACTTTAGAATAAGCAACAAAGAGGCAAGAAAAACCTTTCATTCTAACACATTCTCTAACAGGGCTCCCGACAACCTCCGCCTCGACTTCTGCCCTCCGTTTCCACCGAGGAGACCAGTGAGTCGGGTGTGGCAGCCGGCAAGCAGATCAAGCAGCGTTGGTCTTCCATATTCGGGATCAAGAATCCCCAGCAGAGTCAACTGTGCGAGCTGCTTAACAGCTATGCCAAGAACGGAGTTCCCCAGCGGGCGGATAGCATGAACTTCAATCATCCGGATCTGGTCAACTCACTGGCCTATCTTCAGGATATGCACAAATCGTGGCGGGACTTTGTGGAGAGTGATGCGATGAGTGAGACAGAGATTAAGATCCAGACGGCGATTTGGGAGCTGGTTACCACCGAAGTTTATTACATTCACGCCCTGCAAACAGTGACGGATGTGAGTGGTTATTCTACAGATCGAAATCTTTAATGGAAATCTAATGAGAGATATATTATAGTTGTTCCTGGCCTGTTTGGAGGCTGTTCAAGAGGAGCGACTGCTGATCGATGTGGATCAAGCGCGTTTGTTTTCCAATATACGAGCTGTGTGCGAGGCAAACATCAAGTTTTGGACATTGTGGCTCTACCCCATGGTGGCACATAGTGTGATCACACACGAGCCACTTAGATGCGCTTTTTTTCAGGAGGGATTCCTTGCCTTCGCCTCCACCTTTGCCCCCTATAAGGTGGGTATTAAGTCGAATATATTTATATTATTTCTGACATCTTTGTGATTTCTCTTGAAGATCTACTGCGCGGAACAGAGCACCTGCCAGTTCTACTGTAAAGAGCTTAACCATAACAATGCCCTCTTCACATCCTATTTGGCGTGGTGCGAGTCGCAGAAGATGTGCAACCGCCTGCGACTCGCGGACATTGTGGTGCGACCTATGCAGCGACTGACCAAGTACAGCCTCCTTCTGGCGGCCATTAAGAAGCACATGAGTGATGTTGAGGAGATCGAGGCCATAGACGTCATGATGCACAGCGTGGAGAACTTTGTGGGCAGTGTGAACAACCATTTGACGATGCGACAGGAGAGCGAGCGGCTCAAGGGCGTGATGGTGCGGATCGAGTCCTACGATGTGGTGGTGAGTTCTTGCACTTTTCTATCTTTTCATATAAATCTAAACAGAAATCACTTTGTAAATAACTTTAACATTTTGTATTTTCTTACACAGGACACCAACAACGAGATGCTGGACAAGCTGATCAAACAGCACAGCCAGATGTTTGACCTCTGTGCCCCGATGCGCGGATGCCCTGCCTACCATGTGCGCCACCTGTTCATGGAGGGCGATCACAAGTTCAAGGACAACCTCGGCAAGTCCGATGTGCATTGTTTCCTGCTCACGGATTTGCTTCTGGTGTGCAAGACGATCGCCAAGCGTGGATTGGGTGCCCTGAAGGTCATCCGACAGCCGTACCTAACCGATCAGCTTATTGTTCAGCTGGCGCCGAACAATACGCTGAATTGTGTGTACCTCAACGAGTTCCAGGTGGCCACTACGGCGTTCACGCTGCAGTGCACCGAGGCCAAGAACTGGTACGATGCCCTGTGGCGGGCCAAGACGATCTACCAAAGACTGAAGCGCGGAGGCGGTGGTGGTGGCGGCGGCAGCGGAAGCGGCACGGTGGGCGGCGATAGTTTCCGTTTTGGTGGTAGTGGCACCAGCGGCGGCACTGCCGATTCCCTTGGTGTCCGCAAATCCCCAATGAACTCCTCCATCTGCAGTCACGTCTCCAGTGCGAACAACAGCCACAGCGGCAGCGTCGAGTGGAACGACTCCCGAAACATATCCGTCGACTTCGAAAAGACAAACTCGGTGTCCAGCGACGAGGGCTCCAGCATAATGACAGGTACATAGAAAGTAGAATAAAATTGTTTACTTCTCAAAAGTTGTAGAAGTTTAACTTTGCTGAGCACCCAATCCTCTCAATACTCTGAGCCAATAATGGTCGGAATGTCATATATCGTAGATCTTGTTTTCTAATTTCTAGTCGAACTGCATTCACAGTTTAAAATGTCAACATTTTTTTTGCATTTTTGGCAAAAAAAGATGAGGTTACCCCTTATCGAAAATGGCAAAATTGGTTTTTCCCGATTTTCCCCTCAAAATGACAGTTTTATGGCCAGAACAATGCCAAAAATGGTCTTCATTTAAATCTCAATCGATTGGAATTCAAATCTGATCAAATCTAATTCGTTTTAATTCCAAATTTTTGCAGGCAACCACGGAGTGAACCTGAAGGGCAAGCAGCAATTGATCAGTGGTCTGCACAAAACGAAGATGGGCATTATCGGCCAGATGGGCTCCAAGTCGGCCAACACGCTCTCAGTGCAGCCAATGAACCATCTGGGCCAGAGTCTGCCCAACCTGAACATGCATCACAGCCACACGTAAGTTGCGTAGAGAGTGCACCACCGCCACTGACCATGACCAGCTTCTAACAAAAAATCAAGCTAGCACACACCACCAAACCACTCTCATCTCCCGATCACCAGATTACTAGATTACTACTAGATCATCAGATCAGATCCCCTTTCACGTCACGTGTGAGCGTTCCCAGGGATCGGATTCACTCTGTTTATGTTGTACCATACTCTACATTTAGTCATCATATTTATACACTGTTTTTAGCTAGTACGTACTGTAGTCATATTTTATAAATCAAAACAAAATAAATATTTTTATTGTGAAATGTACGACTTGAATTCATAACTAACCACCACCTGCTACACCGAATTTCATTTGTGCTAAAAGTTCTTTATTTTCAAGAAGTTAAAGTATAGAAAACCCCTTTCATAGTTCACAATCTATGCAAGGGCATTTTATACTCTAATTTCCGAAGCTATCGTTTTTCCTTTATTTTATTTTCTGAAATTGCTGCAATGCGTTTTATGTTAGGGGCAACACGACTTTTATCCTTTTACTGTCACCGCCCACCGCTTGCGTTTCCGCTAGTCCTCAAATCCGAAACCGGATCCAAATCCGCCAGCGTGCTCTTTACAGTATAACCTTTGTCCTACTTGTAGTAACAATACTCTGCTCGTGCCCGGCTCAACGACGAGCCACTCGGGCAACATGTTGTTGTCGCCCAGCCACCGTGGCATTTCCTACCCGCCGCCGAGCCCAACGAGGTGAGTGTCTCAACAGATTAGAGTCCCCCAAGTGTCCCCGTCTGATTGTGTGTAACCCGTGTGTCTTTGTCGTCCTTTCCCTACAAAAAAAAAAAAAAAAAAAAAAAAAACGAACTGCGAACTCTTTCCACATGTGCATCGTCCTGAAATCGATCGATCGTGAACTCTCATAACCCACATCCTGCGCCTCATCGCAATCGCCATGTGACCGCCGCATCGCCATCGACTAACCACCAAACCATCGTTGCTAATGCCTGTCCTTGGCTCCTGTAGAGTTCCTTTGCGCCGTGGCATGGCCTTCTCCACGTCGACGAAGAATCCGCCGCTGCGTAAGACCCGGAATATAACCTCCCAGAACAGTATTAACTGGCATCAGATCCCGGCCACGCCCACACCGCCCAGCCCACGATCACAGCACCAGTCGCCGGGGGTGGTGTCCATGCAGAAGTCGCTGCCTCTGCTGCTCCCCAATGAGGAGGGTCAGGGTCAGACACCGCCAACGCTGCACAAACAGCTCTCCCACCAGGCGCCCCTGCCCACCTCCAACCACAACCAGTCGAGCACCGAAACGGATGTCTGATGAGGATTTGGTTGCCGAAACACAAAGCCGCAGAATGTACTTAACCATAGATCTGTCACAAACTATCAAGGACACTCCCATATCAAAATCATTTAGAAAATCATCTTTAATTTGCAGTCCTAAAAATTCTACAAATATTTAATTTATATCCTTAAATACCTCTTTAATTTTTTAGTTCCATAGATTTTGTTTTTTGGGATTAGTTTAATTCATTAATCTTGTATAGGGACTAGCTAAAATTAAAGACGATTTTCTAAAATTGAACTAATATTAAACTTCTGAGTGTAGGACATCGTGAGCTTGAATTGTGAAAACCGCACTTTTGGGTCCAAAGCTGATATTGAACTTATATACATTCCATAACTAACTAAACACCCCAACCTTAAAACCTTGGCGATATGAAATTTCAGAATACAAAGCTCCGCACATTCGCCATTTTAATCTTCCCATAACGATATGAAGACAAATAAAGTTTAACCGAACTAAAGTTAGTTGTACTTGTTACCATAGAATACGCATAGTCCGAATGCCATATATACCGAAACATACTTAGATTGATCACAAGCTTTATGAAAGTGTTTCCATACTATTGATGTAAGTCGTTACTTTCCTTAAGTAGGTAAATCAAATGTTACGATCATAATAAAAATAAATAAACACGAAAAAAAAAACACAACACATAAATATATATCTTACGGGCTGCTTATTTTTTGCATGTACCATAGAAATTTGGTTTTAGTACCTTACTTTATCAAGTTTTTAAAAAAGTTATCCTTTTATTTGGTATTCTTTTGATAGAAAACTAAAATAGTTTAAACTCAATGTTACGAACCTGTTTGTATACCAAAATAGAGTATTAGCCGATCCTCGGTCAAAGTGTGTATGTATAATTATATTTACTTTAGGATCGAGATTAAGTAAGCCGTAGTCTTCTTCCACAAGAAAGTGGTCTAAACCAAAGCACACACAAAGTCTTATTGGGGTAAGTTGGGATTGAACTCCAACTAACATTATGATCTGTCATTTAAGCTACATTCATCTGGGTGATACAAAAACTCTTCAGAAATCCATTACTCTAATTGACTAGCTCTATTAAAATAAAGTAAACTCTTTTTTCTGACCGAGTTAATCCCCTGTCTAAGCCTTTCTTGGAACCCTTTACAAACTTACATTGAGAACCATCTAAGAAAGATTAAAGGTTCTTCTATTATAGATATCATAACTTATTGGAACTTAGACTAAGACATAGCTAAAGTTCTTCCTTCGAGTATAAATTCGAGTAAAAGGAAGTCAAAGATTTGTACATATTATCAAAGGGAAAGCGTGGCATAAGTTCTAAATTACATATAGAGACAAACGAATACATATACACAAACCATATACTAGTATATGTATATAAGGATTATATTTATATATATGTGTATATTGTAAAATGTGTACTTTCGAGGATAATGAGTTGCATGATTTGCACACAAGTGAGAGCTATAAACTTAATTTAATATACACTTGCAATACGAAATGTTAACTGTATTTTTATGTACGAATACTTAGGGCTGCATAGGGCTGAGATCGTATTTTAGAGTCGTACTTAGTTGGAGGGCATGGTAACCTTAATCTATAACGAGATACATTCGTGTACAAATATCTAACCCTCTCTATGGCCTAGTCCAAAGAGTATATGCATACATACATTTAGTACGTGGTACTTAGAAGTTGAACTTAAATGTTATTGCAACTATATCTAATTGCAATTTATTTACAAAACAAAGAAAACACAAAATAAAATTGAGTAAAGTGCAAAAAAGCTTTATTTACACGCTTGAACAATAAATATCAAAATTATTTGTAATGTAAACAACCAAATTTTTGTGGTTTTATTTCGATTAACGCGTGGTGGGTGAGTAAATTATTATTAATAGCAAAGAACAAGTTGCCCTTATCCTAGATTAATTCACTTTGTCAAGTTAAGCAAATGCCATTTAAAACCAATTACCAACCAAAAGTGGCCAAATACGTAAAAAACCAGTGCCACGATAGTGACATCAGGCCAAACTGCACTGGACAACATCGCTTATTTAACCATTAAAAAGTTTTGCGGCAGCTGCAACCAAGCGGAGATATCAAAGAAGGACACTGAGCCAAGGATGCAACTTGATAAATGAAGGGCCATCCGAACAGTAATGTCCTTTTACTAATTGGTCAGATTTTTGCGAGCCAATTACCCATGGTAAAGTTGTTGAAAAACTATTGATAAAGCCATTAATAATAAAGTTTATTAATAATAAAGTTTTGGCTGTTCGAATCAAGGGTACTAAATTGTATATTTTAAGAGATTTTAATGCATATTTTCTGTCTGATTATCACCCCTTTTACTTCATATTTTACAAAGGTTATTATGCTGAATAAAATCGTAGAATTACTACTCCCCACTACAAGTTAATAAATTAATTTTCCTCCTGCTTATCCTTGCATTTGACAGAAATATAATGCTGAGGATGAGAACACTTGAAACAGGCGATGCATGCAGCAGCCAAGTGGATTATTTGCATGCCATGCCCACTGCCACGCCCCCCAAAACCCACCACCGCCTGCCCCTTGGTTCCAGTCTGTTCTTGAAAAGCATTATGATAAATGTCGTAATTCCGCGATTGAAGTGTTATGGCTGGCAGTTAGTCAGGCTGCTTGCCTCGGATACGCGGATTCTGCGGCTGCGTTAGTTATATTTAGACATCTCATAATGGTAGTCATAAAAATACGCATTTTGTGAGCTCACTCTCGGAACGGCATATCCCCATTGAGTTTCCGAGCTCTCCAAGGGTCCCACTTGAAGCATCCGCTAACGAAATGGAATCGTGTAAATGGGATTATGGTTTTGTGCCCCTAATGCAACGTACTTAATACTACAGTGGAATGTACAATTTTACAATTTGACCACCGTTAAGCTTCATTTTACATCCAAAGCAAAACGTAATCAGATTGGAAATACTTTCAGGACATAGAAAGTGTATTACGTACTAAAATTCTTTACATTGATATACTTTTCTTTGCCTAAGAAACTTTTGTAAAATAAATAAAGTTAACAGATTGTGCATTCACTTGACTAACTAAAGTCAAACCAAAGTGATTGTGCAAATATTAGTTTAGCAGAAGAGAGCAGAAATTGAAGCAAAACAAATGGAAATTAGCTGTTCCAGGTGGGGCTTTAAAAACAATTTTGCCAGTGACAGGTCTGTCGGGGACATCCACCTGGCGCAGTGCCACCACTGGCTGGAAAGTGTCGACACCATGTTTAACCCTAGCCAAGTTTTTCCAGGGGATTTCCCTTTGCTCTTCTACACCTCCCACCACTTTACCATGTCCATGTGCAGGCACGCCTCGCAAGTTCCTTTCAATTAAAAACATTTCCCAGCCCGGCGCTTTACCTCCAGCCAGACGTCTGCCTTGCCTCTCTGTGTGTGTGTGTGTGTGTGTATATGTATGTTCGCGTCATTTTAGCATATTACTCGGGGAAATAATGAGCCCCGAGCTGGGAACACGGAGCCCAGGACAGCAGTGCCTGAGGTCCTCATCCCATCACTTTGTGAGTGCCACGCATCCACGCATCCCGTCGCGGCGCACTTTAAGCGGCTGTCCCACAAACGAGGAGGATTCTTTAAGAGGATTTTGCACTCTCAAGTACAGCACTTGATGGACTTTTCGCCACTGCCCAAGATGAGATTAAGTAAAAGGGTGTTGTTTCTAGCACTGATTGGCTGGCAAAGAAAAACTACGCAAAAAATTATAAAGAAGTTAATTTTGTAAATTTAAACATACCCTTCTGGGTCTCCATTCTGTTTTGCCATTGTATTTTTGGAAATTTGTATCATTAACGAACTGTACAGATTTGCATTTCCAATTCAGCTCAGGCTATTTAATTGCCCCAAAACAATACTCCCCCATGAAATCAGACTTAGAGCGGTGTTTAAAGTCAGACAGCTGAGACTTGGAAACCATTTTGTCTTCATAAAAAATGAATTGGATTTTGTTGGTTTTCCTGCTCTGCATTTTGCATTCAAAAAAAAAAAAACAAGAAAGATGAAACAAGGTCAGTTGGCAGGTGCACGGCGACAATAACGATGTCAGGAAAAATAGTTCAATTCCCAACGCAAAAACAACAACACATATCGTATATAACAACATGGCAGTATCAATATCAAGGCACTCGTATCTGCTGAAATGTTTTTTATATCTATGTCACGGAACATTTATTTAAAATATCAATAGCACGGCATAATAAATATCATCGATGTCAATGGCTTCTCCTCCACTGCACCCATCCAAGGCCAAGACCGTTCGGATTATTTATGTTGGCTCCACGTCCACCACAACATCCAAGAGTATCGAGTTTTTTCGGCTCGACTGCTTTTCAATACTTATTTAACAATCAAATTGCCTTTAGAATATGAAATGTTAGTATTTGTCGAAAGAGAGTAAATTGACCTTCTAAAATGTATAAACACAAGATATCCTTTAAGCTACTTTTAAAGTCCTTACCTTTCTTAATTAACACTGCACTCTGATTGAAATGTAAATTGAATTTTCACTGCAGCCATATCGATTTCAGTAGATTCGGAACTGAAACAGTTGAGTGTACACAATCCATTGAAGACCATTAATATGGACAAGTCGAGTTTGCGAAGTGACTGCGGAGAGTAAACAACAACTGGTCAGTCACCTGGCTACTTGCGAACCCAGAACCAGTGGGTAGTTCCCCCATCCTTTCACAAAATAGAAAAGGACCTCAACGAAGCTGACTCAGTGGTGGTCATGTCCCAGTGTCCAAATGTCGCCGAGTCCTCGACTTGACAAGCAGTCGGTCGTTGGGTCCTTTGGTCACTTGGTCCTTGGTGCTTCAGCTTGAGAAATGGCACTGCAGCCGTCTGGCGCCATTATCCCGTATTTTTTCTCACCACTTTCCTCCATTCTTTCCAAGCGTTTGGCTGTTTGTTTGTTGCCTGTGGTCGTGGACTGCCAGTCGACCATTATAAATTGTTGTGTAGACACCTTGTGGCCGGCGTTCAATCCAACATGCCGGACACATTCGAATTATCCACTAAAAAAGGGGATAAGGATCAAGTTAAAAATCTTATGGGAAAATACTGTTAAAAAGTTTTCTTTTTTAAAAACATTATCCTATACCCCAAGGATATTAAAAATGTTTAGTTTAGCCTCCGCAATATCTGGTTTTATGCCAAATATTGCCGAGTTATGTTTTTTCTTACAGTGTTATTTTTCTGCCCCCATCCTTTATCCTTTATTTGCTTTCCTTTGGCCCAATTTGTCTGGGTGAAAAGCTGCTGGGGATGGGGGAGGAGGTTTTACCCTCCAACTGGACTGGCTTTGTTTAATTTTCCAATTGTTGTTAACCGAGAGGAGTCATCGCCACCGATGTGAAGTGTCATTAAACTCGTGCCAATGCATTAAGTGTTTATTGTTTGCCCATTGCTCGGCTCAATTGTTCATGCCTAATTACCGTTCAAACTTTGTCACCGAATGGCCCTCGATGCTGCTGATTCAAATGTGTTCCTGACCAGTTGAAGTGCCCAGGAAGTGGCAAGAATGTGGGACAAAGCTGCTGCATCTGACGTTAGTTTTTCCAGATGAAGTTCCAAATAGTTGCAGAGACACCTGCCCACACACAATGCACTCGGAACAAAAGAATTAAACATTTATAAAAAGCTACTTTAAAGTAACAATTTTTCTTTAGATTATCTTTTTATTTAATTCAAAACTCTGAAAAACCTTCTAAAGCATTTCCTTTTATTTATTCTAAATCACATTTATCCTGCTTAATATGTTTTAAAATGTTTTCGAAGTGTGCTTATTGGACACAAAAAGAGGCAGCGTGCCGGAAATTGCGCTTCACTTTCAGCTGCACACACTGGGCAGGCTCTTTGTCGGAGCGCTGACCTCTTGGTCACCCACGCCCATGTCCACTCCCATTCGGTCCACCCAATTGCTCCAGTGCTACCGCCCACCCAACGACCTTTTGCATGTTGCCAAGTGCCGGAAGCATCTGCATGATATTCCTTGCATACATTTCGACGACGCCTCCTTTAAATTCAACGGTCTGTGCATCCGGAAATTAAACATTTTGCTCGTACTTTCTCAAGCCCTGCGGTGGCCGGTCTCTGTGCCTAAGTGTGCAGCCATTCTCCGTTTGTTTTCAATTCAATTCACTTAGAGGCAATGCCAAAAATAAAAATGAAGATTCTCGGCATGAGGGGGTAACTTTTTCCAAGGATGCACCTTTTCGAGAAAACCTTTCAAATTTCCATTTTACTTTTGGCCTTTCCATTGTCCCATACACCAGCGTATAAATGTGGGAAGGAAGTCAGACATAAAAATGGACACTGACACTCAACTTTATATAAGTTCTGCTTGAGGTAAAATATGTCACTTTGAACTTGAGAAAATCTCAGCATATTGCTAATGGTATCCTTCTCTCTGTCAGCAAATAAATCTAGTCATAGGACTTTTCACATCTCAGCTTAATCCTATGGGGCTTTTGCTGTTTGTAGTTTTCAATAAGTATGTAAACTAAATAAACAAAAGCAAGTAATTATAATCCTAACAAATCAGCTCCCTTTATTTGAATTTCATACATCACATTCGTAGTGGAAGTCAGGATTAAAGTTGTTTTACAAAGTTTAACATCATGCTGTATTAAATAACTTGAAAGTCATCACTTGCGAAGTGCCTTAGGTGTACATTACATATTGGGGTGAACCTTTATTCAATAAGATAACTACAGATACTTATTATGGTTGTCAGCACTGCGTATGAGTAATATAAAGAACATAACATATAAGATAGGAATGGAGATATTAATGGAGTTACAAAATTCGACTACACACTATATAAATATTTTATGCTCATTACAAGGTTCACCCTAAGTTGACGAACACACCTTGCCAAATTTGGGGTAGGCTGTCGAGAAAAGTTGTCGCGCCTCGGAAAATCCTCTGCGGCTGGATTTCCATCTCGATACGGTGACAGACAATTATAATTGTATTTAATTCCTTTGATTGATGCTTTGTGGGCTTTTCACGAAGACGCTTTTTTCACCCAACCGCAAAGTACAGATACTGGCAAACAAGCACGAAAATCGACGTCAGCAAGGTGTGCGTATGGCATCCCCTGTCACGCGGCGAAAATAAATATTATTTATGGGTTTCATTGATAAATATAATTTATTTCTCTAATTTATGCCATGGGAATTTTCCTATATGCTAACAATCCTGCCGTTTTAGTATCCTCCAGCCTTTTCGCAAGGTGACAACGATTGAATTATTAAATTAAATATGCGGCCCAAAATTAATGTTATTAAATCAGTATCTTTAGTCGAATTTACTTTAATCTGTTCAAAAAAAAGGAAGGATTTAAACGTACATTCTTATATGAACTATTTTAGTGTCTGATTAATACTTTTGTTTGACTTTAGCTCTTAAGTTGCAGCATCCCTTTAAACTTCAACTTCACGTGGAAGTTTCTGCGTCTCGCCATTGGAAAAAGGCAAACCATTCTGAAGTTTTATTTCTGAAGTGCATTAAACACTCAAGAAATGAGTTATGATTCCAGAGTTAGTACGTGAGAATAACAGTCTGGGACACAATTCAATTTAATTTTGTTGTTCCCCAGAGCGTGCATTAAAAGCATTCGTCATGAGTAAAGGCCGTTTCATTCGTGGGTCCAACCCTCGTTGAAATATAATCCAAAGTCATATATTTTTATTGGCAAAAGAAAAGGATTGGGACCTGGCTTGGCCAACGGTGCGAATGGGTTTATTTATGAGTTGTGTGTGCATTCTGATGTTCTTGAATACATTAACCCAATCAGGTGAAATGGCACATAACGCTGCAGATAAAATGATTTCCATAAACAGGAGAGTTTTCACAAGCTCTGGTAATCACTAAGCATTTCTTTTTGAGAAGAACTGAATAGTAGTTATATATTTATATTTATATATTTATTAAGAGGCGTGATGTAATCTTCTGAAAGTTTTAAGACAGCTTTAAATGCTAGAATAAGTGAGAAGAATAACACGAATGATTGAAGCATCCCAGTACCAAAGGCTGAGCTCTGCAGTTCACAAGTAACAAAAACAGGCTGAAAGCCCAAGCTGAAACAAACACAAGTATTCATGCGTTGAACGGAAATACCTTTACAAAGGTGTAAAGGGGGTATTCACGCCCAACCCAAACACATATATGTATAAGGTCTATACAGAGCATATAGCCTTTTCCAACTTTTACTCTTTCAGGGGGCGGGTGCTGGTCCGGGATTCTCCGGAGTGCGATTAACGCTAGCTGGTCTGTGCTAACAGTTGCTTTGGGCCCTCGGTGCTTATGAAGTTGGCGCCACTGCCACTTGCCGTTCAATGCAAAATGTTGAATTCGTTAACTAAAACCAGCACGCACTCGATAATCCCCCAATCGTTGCACAGTGGGCCAATGCAACATTGTGATGCTTACTTCTAACGTTTAATAATAATTTAATTGAGGTGGTTAAGAAATTATATCAGCTCGTAAGCTGCCAATTATAATTTTTGACAAATGTTTTCTAAAATTAAATTTAATATAGATCGTTCCATTGCACTCAAGATTTCCCAGCAGGCAAAAAAATTCTAAACGTGTCAGCAACTTGAATAAAAAACAGCATTGAATTGAAGAAAGAAAAAGTCGCCAGATAAGTACACACCAACATATTAAGTGATCAATTTACAATCCATTATAGATAGCTACTCAGTTAATCTTTAATGAGAAGACCAAAAATTCGCAATGAAAAATTTACTCGGAAATGAGTTCTTTTTCTTGAGAAAGTAATTAAGGCATCATCAGTCGTTTTCATCAGTTCGTTGTCCGCCGGCAAGGTGGAGGCGTGACGTCAAGGGATGGGGTAATTAAAATGGCAAAAATAAATACCTATTAAGAACGTTTACACTGATTGACACTTTAAGGCAATTTCCGGCCATAATTCCATGCCACAAAATGGTACCCAAGAAGGTGTTTACCCCACGAAAACGGCCCAACCAAATGTCGAGCTATCGATTTGTGGCGGGAACTGAGCCGGTGGTTTCGGGGGCTGTAGAGGGGGTGTATTTAGGCCAGGCCTGACACGCTTTACATTAATTTGAAAATTTTGGCTGTGTCCGCTTTAAGTTGGCCTACCCTCTCCAGAAGGCACTTTAAGCAAAAGGGAATGATGGGCGTTAAAAAGGAGTGCGAAGTAACCTATATTTTGAAAATTACTTTCAGTTTGAATTATATTCAATTATCAAAGAAGGTCACTAAAATTAGGTATTTTGTGTTGGTTAACTTATTTATGTTTGAACAATTATGGTTGACTAAAGCGTCGTCTTTGTTTTAATATTAAAGTTCGGTAATTGCATCGTAAAGAAGGGTTACCCATTGCGTATGAGTAATTTCTGAGCACACAGAACACATTTTTGCTACTTAGCAAAAGAGGTCAGCTGTGTTTTACTTAAATTTGTAAATTAAATTAAATGTTCATTAAATCTGTAACTCCCAGCTTGGCAGATAGACAGTCATGGGGCATCAATCCTGCCTTCTGGGTGACAGCTTTTTGCCACTGACTGTGCTGAGCTCACTGTTGTGGTTGACGAAGCTGCCATATGCGTCTGCTCTATGCTGTGTGTGTCTAGTCAGGACATTTGCCATGACATCCTTTAATTTGTGCCCCGTCATGTTGCATGATTCTGTGCCTGAGACATGACTCACTTTTGCCGGTATGTGGATGAAAAATCCTAGGTAAATTGTTATAATTTTTAATGGAAACTTCGCCTTTGCTGGGAGTCTAAAACTTATATTTTTATAAAAATATAAAGATAAAAGAATACCTTAAATATTCTATTATTTGGGATTAAGTTAGTTTAAAAATCAAATAATATTCTAACGGTTACGCATATCGGTCACACTGTCTTTGAGAGTAGACCAAAGAGCGCGATCGGCGGCTGAGACCGATATTAATACAGTGGCTCCTCGAAATAGTCAACATGCCAAAGCGACTAATCCCTTCAATTACATATTTTTTAAATCTAAAGATTTATTTGGTGCTTTGTATTAAAATAATTTGATCCCTTGAAGACACAATCTGTTGTTCGTTCATAAAAGTTATTACTGTACTAGTTTCTCAATTACCCACAGCTCTCTCTTTATGCGATAAGAAAAGTTAAAAACAAAAACAGCTGTAAAACTCGATCGACAATAAATACAAGTAGCAGGTGAAAATCAACTTTTTGATTAGATTGACCTACAGAATTGGAAAAAAGTCGGCTAAAAATTCCTGGACTCTAGCAGCTAGTTAACTTCGAATTATTAATTAAATTAATAAAAATCTAATCTAATAAAAGTTTAGATTGCCACAAAATTAGGTCAGTGCATAACATTTATTAGGTTTGGTTTGAAAAGTGGAACTGTTTTAGGTGTAACCCCTAATTTTAAATAGTGTAACAAGCTTTCAAATGCATAAAAAATAAATTTTTGTAATAATACTTATAATTCGAAGTGATCAAAATATCAACTGATATGAGCCAAGCGAAATCCGTACTTTGCGTGGGCTGCACGGTAATCGACTTTGTGACCATCAATGGCAGTTATCCCAAGGAGGACACAGATCGACGATGTTTGGACGGTTTTTGGCAACGTGGCGGAAATGCCTCCAATGTGAGCACAGTTCTCCGGGTTCTCGGTTCTAAGGTTGACTTCTTTGGAATGCTTAGCAGATCGGATGCGTTCCGAGTGCTTCTCGAGGATCTTCGAAGACGTGAAATCGGCACTAAGAATTGCCCTCTCACTAATAAGGACCCGCCCTTCTCTTCGGTGATCTTGGCTCAGGATTCCGGCACCCGCACTATTATCCACTGCAATAAGGATTACCCGCAGACCACTTTTGATGACTTTAGTAAAATTGATCTTTCGGAGTATGAATGGGTGCACTTCGAGGCTCGCAATACTCCTCATACCTTAAAGATGATGCAAAGGATCCGGGAACACAATGAAAAGACCGGGCAGAACATCTTCATCTCGTTGGACTTTGAAACGAGGTACGAACAAAACCAGGATTTGTGTCAGCCCTGCAACTTTGTGGTCTTCTCCAAGGAGCTGGCCGGCCAGTTAGGCTGGAAGACGGCGCGACAAACTTGTGAGGAACTGGCCGCTAACATTCCCGGAAATGGTCCAAAACCTGCCTTCATTTGTCCCTGGGGCAGTGCTGGAGCTGGTGCTTTGGATGCCAACGGGAGTTACCATGAAATGGCTTCCTATAAGCAGGAGAAAGCGGTGGACACGCTGGGAGCTGGAGACAGCTTTATGGCGGGTTTCATATATGCCACTCTCGAAGGCCGGCGATGTTTACCGGAAGCTGTAGACTTTGCCAATCGAGTTGCCAGCCATAAAATCACTGGATTCGGCTACGACCATATTGCACAACTCAGCTTAAATTAAAGTTAGTGTGTTATAGCCTTAAATCTACCTGACATAAGATCTTTAATTCTCTGCGACAGAATTTATTAACATTAAAAGCCGAAACGAAAAAATGTTTATGTATAAAATTGTTTTTAGAAGTTACATGAATAATTTGTATTGGAGACTAAAATAGTTGTTTTAAATTCATGTGTGAATGTTTTAACATAGTAATGATTTTATATTAAACAATTTTAAAAATGATTTTAAAGCTTTGCAAATTAGTTATACTAGTTTAAGCAAATAAGATATCCCTTGCAAAAACTAAAAACAGTCAGTTTTGGAAATGAACAGCGCTTATGTATTCTCACAAATTTTATAAACTTGTCAAATTCATTATGATTATATAATATTATAATTATTTTCATGAATATTGGTTAGGCAAAGACTTTTTTTGTTGGTCTGCTGAGATTTGATGTAATCAAATCGTTCGCTTTGCAAGTACTGAAATATCCAAATTGGAAATCAAGAGGAATCATGGCATATTGAGTCTGTAGGTCCTCTGCTCTTTCATAGTTGTTCAGTTTAGAGCCTCTCGTTGTTGTCTATGTGTATTTAATGAAGTCTCCTCGTTGGTCGTCTAATTCCGAACCAATGGCCGAGGCGTTGATTCCAATGCCGCTTGAGGCACTGCCGGATTTTTGCTGACTGTTTTGTCCCTCAATTAGCTGTTTGGGGATATAAAAAAGCTTAGTTTCCACTTCTAATAAGGCATATGAATTTCTCACCTTTGATCTCAGGCGCTTGAGTTGGCGCAAGCGTTCTAGCCAATTCGATGCATACGGATGTTTTTTCTGCACACTTTGGTAGACTAGCGAGGCCAGCTGTAATACGTTGTCAAATTTAAATTTTAACTATAATGTTTCTAAGCCCTAACTGTACTCACATTGGCGTGCAGGGCCATCTGACGGGCTAAAAGAGGTGCACTGCGGTCGGAGACTATCCGATGTTCTGCATGGCACACGAATTTCGATATCTCCGATCGAGCCAACACATACACCCTGTTAGAGTTAAGCTCCAGAGGCTCCACTATCACACAGGCGTAGTTAAATTGGCCCTGAATATTTTAGAAAACATTTAAATTAAGATCCAGGATTCAGGGAAAATGGTAAACTCACGGATATAGTGTTAAGATTGTACTCCTCGCCGCTCTCGTTGTAGATGATTTTCACAAAATCGTTGCCAATGTGGCTCTTCTTCTCGTTGCAATTAGGATCATCCTGTAGGTTTGTGGGCATCAGGGTGGCCACATGGAAAGTGACCTAAGAAGAAAGACATTGGTTATAAATAATTATGAATTAATCAAATACCTACACCTCATACACACCTGCAATATGTCATCCTTCCAAATATAGGCAAACTTGCCATCGGCCCCGTTCCTATCCAGCATAATAAACAGGTTGTTCTGCTCGGCTTCCTTTAGGCTAACCAGAGTACCGATGTTGTGCAGGAAATTCACATATCTAGCACTACCGTGGGAATTGCGTAAAATCTCCACCTCGTTGTTGCACTGCCCTTGGCCTACATAAAGCACCCCGATCTTGTGAGTCTCAAATGGTGGAACCAGATCTATTAAGGTGACTGCACTGTTGTTTTCCGGACCAACCTTTAATGGCTCATCTGTCACGCCTAGCTGGCCAGTGCTGTACAGTTGCAAGAAGATAAAACTCGGATTCATGCACAGCTTGGCATTGATGGGCGGTTTGGCGGGCCCAAAATTCCGGAAACTACTAGCTGGTGGCAGGCGTGCATTTCCGTTGTTCACCTCCCGCACAACCGAAATAGTCTTTGAACGACCACGCATCATGTCTCCGTTTCCATTGTTGCCGTTGTCGTAGTCGGTGGAAATTACTCCATCATTGGCGCCGTTGGTACCACTGCTACTTGACTTGGCTAGAACACCAGGCTGGGGAACGGAGGTGCCTCCAAAGCTGGTTGTTCTTCCTGTTGTCAGCAAAGACAGCAAGGGCTGCCCAGGCGAAAGGGGGGGTTTGCCCAACTTTAGGGTGGATCCTCCTGATTGCAGTGTGCTGCTCCCAGAAACTTGACTGCTTACATCGTCCGCAGAATGCTGCTTGGGCGGCAGGGTGCCACTTTCCGGCTGCAGGGCCAGCGCGGCAGCCTGCGAAGGCGGCGTGGAACCGGCAATCTCCTCAGGAATGGCCTCGCAACTCACGCGCATATCCTTGGTGCTGTACTGTACACTCTTCTTCTTCAAAGTCAGCTGCGATTGGGGCTCATCGGCGATAGTTTTTACGATCTCCTGAGACAGTGGCGTTGGTTTGTTGGTCAGGAACGATTGCCGCCAGCTGGAGCTCATCTCTGGGCTGGAGTTGACTCGGCGAACGGGATTACGTGCACGACTCTGCGCATCTTCGAAGGCTAAAGAGTCATCGTCTGCTTCGCCATCACTAACGCTACCACAAAGAGCTGCATCTTTGCCTCGCTTTCCGGTTGCTGAAACTCTAGGTATGGGGATGGCAGCTGCTGCTCCACTGCTGGAAGTATTTCCGTTTCCATTTCCATTTCCTCCGCCAACCGAGTGAATTTCCTCCTGGCGCTGGAGTGCACGAGCCTTGGCCACCATCCGACTGCGCAATGCACTTGCCTGTGGAGCCGCTGCTGGATTAACCTCCGGTTCCGGTTCCGGATCAACCAAGGGATGAGGCGGTACTTGTATGGTGTTGTCCGGTCCAAAGACTCCGCCATGGGCAGTTGGCAGAAACAGAGATACGACATTGTTTAATGGCAAGTCCTGGCCAAAGCAATCGTTGGTGATGGGGTTCTGAATACGTGTTATCCACGATATGTTACCCGTGGGACGACGAACCAGGACCTCCGCCCAGCCAGTGCAAGCGCGTACACAAACTGGCTGCTGCACCACGGAACCTGATGAGGGGCTCATGCTTACAGAAGATTGGGACACAGAATTTCCCAGAAGCGAAGTGTTGCTTCCTGTATGTGGACCTTCTCCCATTCCACTGCCCAAGGCTTCGGGATTAGAACCACGACGGGACAGCGCATCGAGCGAAGCGGTGGAACTGTTGGAGATCTGTCGGTGTGGATGGCCACCTGTGGCTGCCGAGTTTGAGGATGAGGAGGAGGTGAGCTCCGTGCTACCCGCGGACTCGTTTCCGCTACTGTGCTGCAGGCTAACCTTAGTGTAACGCCTTTCCCGCTCAGGCGAAAGTGGAGGAGCAGCATCACTTAGGCTCTTCGAATTCAGGCTGATGCTCGGAGCCTTTCCAAGTTGGGCGCATCGCTCGCATAGACCACTCCGCGTAGGAGCCGATGGACAGCCAGAGGTAGTGATGGTCACCAAGTTATGGCCGACAAGCCAGGTCTGCGAGACGCCATCCTTTAATAGAAACTGCGCTGCAGGGAGACTACAAAATAGAGGTACATTTAAAATAGAAATAAGAAATCCAAGCGGAACTACTCACCGCTTGGGCATCGACGGACAGGGCGAATATGTGTGGCGGGCCAAAAAATCAAAACAGGTCTCTGCCAACTCGGCGTGGAAGTTCCGAAGTCCGTTGTCCATCTGAGGCCGCATCTCCAGATCGTTCCAGGCACTGGCATTATTGCGACTACCGCGCTCCGTCAGACTGGTACTCCGTTTACGATTGGACGAGTCCTCGTTCAGATTAACAATGTCGCTGGATAACATTCTGGCATTCGACTGAATCGACTGACATGTAGAGGTTTTATTAATTTAAGTACTACAAGAAACTTTAGTTTACTTACGCTCTTAATGTAGTTTACACAGTTTTTGCGCAGCTCAAGCTTACACTTGAGGAACCAGCCGGCGATAATATGGTGGGCCAGGGAAACTGTATAGTGATCATAGCGATGGGGTTTTGTATACGGTAACGTGATGGCAAACACGTACATGTTATGCATGGATGTAAAGTTTGCAAACAGATGCTTAGACAAATGGATGAGCACTTTTAGGGAAGAAAATTGGATCGTTAGACCTAAGTTGTGAAATAGTTCGTTTAATATACTTACAGGATAGAAATTCAAGCACCGGAGTGGCCAGTGCTTTGGTGTCTGACATTTTGCTCATTTGCAGCAGCACATCCGGCAGCTTCCGCATCAACGCCTCCGGCATCTCCAGTATCAGAATGGTCATGGTATTAATGCAGACGCTGGCAATGCCAGTGAGGACTCTCGAATTTAGGGCTGTGATAATGCCATAATGATGCTGCGGTTGCAGGCTTTCGTGGTAGATAACTAAGGATGCTATAGCAGGCAATACGAGGGCGTGGAACTCGTCGGTGGGGCGCTTGAACTTATTGTTGCTAACCACATTGATCTTGAGGAGTGAGTTGGCCAGCTCCTCGATGTCATTACCCTGGACAAGTGCCTTGTTCTGCAGCACCTTGGGCAGCTCCTTAATGACCAACTGGAACACCTGGTAGTCGGTGTCGTGCACCAGGCACCTCACGATTAGTTTGCAGACTCGTCGAATGGATATCGCTGTGGTGTGGGCTTGTGGCAGCAGGGGAGAATCGATGCCCAGATATTGACTGAACTTTACCACCTCTTTGCTGCCCTCTGGATAGCCAATGTGGTAAGATCCATTTGCCCGAGCTTTCAGCAAAAAGCTAAAAATCTAAGGGTGTGGAGAGGGAGTATTGGTGCTTGTGGGATATTATAACTACAATTTGTACTCACTTTATGGCGCACAACGCTGATGTTGTCGAAAATCTTTGGTCTGTCATAATGCAGCTCAAGGTGATCCAAAAGAATGTTAAATATTTTAAGGGCATGGACCGCCGGAAGGCGGTGCAACTTGATGGCAAACACTTTGACCAAACCATCAACGGCGGCGATGATGTCTTCGATCTCCGATTCGTTGTAGATCAAACCTACTGCTACATCTGGTAGAGATGCGTCACCAGCAGATCCATGGCGCGTGTGCTCAAACGGTCGATTGATTAGTGCCTCAAGGATGTCTAGAAGATCCATACAACGCTTTGTATCGCAGTGGGTGGCAAAATTGGAAAGAGCCCGAGCCACTGCCACTCGCACCTGTACGCTTGGCTCTTGATGAATCTGAGAAAGGTGCACGAGCACCACCCGACTGAGGATCTCTTCCTCGTAGCAAGCACGATTTTGGTCCATAATCCGAACCAGTGCCTCGATCGTCTTAATGCGAACATTCACGTTGGACATGCGGTAGTAGCGGCGGACAAACTGTGCCAGCACTTGGAGCCATTCCGGCCGTGTTGCCGTTACTCGGCGGGATCTGTACTCGATGAGGGCGAGAACGGATGCCTCTGGCCGTCGGTCCGCCACCCGCTCGATGAGATCATAGATGCGCTCCACATTACCCAGAATCTGCGATCGATCTTGCTGCAAAAGTTTCTCGATGCAGTCAATGTTTTCGTGGAAATTGATCTGCAGGTGATGCAGGCGATCTTTATTTATGTTGGTCGCCTCGTAGTACTCGATGTTGCTAACTATCGAGGACATTATATCGCAGATCCGGTCCCAAATTATCTCCGAAAGCTGCCGCTTGTTTATCACCATTCGAACGCTGAGGATCACCTCAAAAGTAACGATCACTTGTCGACTATCCAGTGCCTAGCGAAAATTTCAATATACATATTCAATCTTTAACTAAATATTGTCATGCTTACCCGCAGGAAGGCTGTGAGGACATTCGTTGCGTAGGTCATGGGTGAAACCTGGAAAATAATGTTCGATCCAAAGATGTTCATGTTTAGGTGGAACACTGCCCCACGCAAAAGATGGGCGTCATCGTAAAGAGTACGATCATTAAGGATGCTGCACATCATCTTCATGGAATGGTATCCCAGTTGAGTGCCCAACAAGTTCTTCATGATCTGAAAATACCGAAAAGATTACAAAAAATAATAATCTTTACTTTTTCCATCAAATGAGAAAAGACTATTTTTGTTAATATTTTAATCAGTTCACCATTTGGCTTGAGTCGAAATTCAGAAATCGCCAGAAATGAAAAAGCAAATCATAAAGGAGTTCATAACCGTAAAGAAGGTGCTCCACCTTCCACCAAAGCCAGAACCACCGCCGCCGCCTCCAAAGCGGCACGTTCTAGTTGTGGGTAGCTGTACCCTGGACATGATCACCATCGTGGACCGGCCGCTCACCCCTGGCCAGGTGCAGCGCACTACGGAGGGCAGCTGGCGTCGCGGCGGTCCGGCGTCCAACATCTGCACCGTTTTTCGTAGATTAGGCTTGGAGTGCGAGTTTCTCGGCGTTTTGAGCAAAGTGCGGGCTTTCGAGAGCTTGCTAAATGAATTCCAATCGCTTGGCATCGACATCTCCCACTGCCCGTTGACAAATGATCGTCCTGCCCATCGGAGCATCATAGTTCAGCGGAATGCTGATTCACGCACCATTCTGGAATACTTTAACCCCAATAATGAGCTCTCCTACCAGCAGTTTGTGGGCGCCGTCGACTACCAGAAGTACTCGTGGATCCACTTTGAGTGCCGCAATCCCGTTGAGATGTTGCGTATGATCCGGGCAGTGATAAGCTTCAACGAGCGTTGTCCCGAGTCAAGGATAGTTCTCTCGGTAGATTTGGACAACATGCGGCCGGCCACCATGCTAATGGCTAGTATGGCAGACTACGTTTTTGCCCGCAAGACCATGATGCGAACGTACGCCTTCATGAATGGGCGCGAGGTCGTTTGGGCAATCAGGGATGAAATGCGCACCGCCCGTGCTAAGTGGGAAGAGACCCAGCCCCCAAAGGTGCCCTACTATCCACCCGACCCACCGTCCGAGAATTCTGACGAAAAATGTTATGGTCCGAATAATCAACCCATAGTCATATACAATAATTATATGGAGGGTGCAAGTTGTCTGATGGCAGATGACACCTACTTTAAGGTGGGCTCCCAAATCCCACAGAAAATCGTTGATTGGAACTCCGTGAACGACACCTTCTCTGCATCCGTGATCTATGCCCTGCAAAAGGTAAAGATGAAACTAAGAGATGCCCTCGAGTACGGAACCCGGGCATCAGCGCTCAAGTTGACTGGAAACGGATTTGATGTGCTGAGATGCATGCCCAAGGACCTAATTGGTTGTTACTACGCCTAGAGTACGGTTATACCCTGTGATTTTATAACATTTGTAAAATATATATTAATAAAATTTTAGGGGCAATGTTATCTTTAATACCAAACAAAATTGCAAACAATAAATCTATATTTGCCTATAAAAGTGAAAACCATGGACTAAGGTTGGTTGAAGGGAACTGGGTCAGCGCCCCTGCCACTTATCATCGGTATCTTCAAGGCCTTGACATTTTTTCTCCTAAGAGTTACAGATTTATTGATCACTCTTATTTTGGGCTAGGGTTAATCATCATCGGTCGGAACATGTCAAGAGATAAGACTCCACTGAAGTCATTGGAGCCCCCGATAACTGGTGAAAATATCGAGCCAGATAAAGACTGAGCAGAGTACTCATTAGTATTAATAAGCAAATGTCGAAGCAATCTCTGCCAGCGATTGCCAAATCAGCAAATGAGCTGATAAATCCGGCCAAGGCGAGGACATAAAAAGCGAGATGCTTACAATCAACCCCGCATTTAACGAATTCCTAACATCAGAACACATATTACGGAAATGGAAAGTGAGTATGAAACCAAAATATATTGCCTTTGTTCAATCAAAGATTTCTCGTTTTTTCCAGATCGCTTACTTCTTTTATGTCTGCTTGTGGGGACCACCACAGCGTCACATATAACCTCAGTCTGCAGGATATCCAAACCCTGGCAAATGCTGCCGAATGTGAATAATTGTCAAAGATTCTATGTTTGCACTGGCGATGAGGAGGTGCCATACCAGGAGTTTAGCTGTCCCGCGGAGTACCATTTTAGCAAGAAGATGTTGATTTGTGTGCCTGGATCCTGCTCCGATGAATCCTTGTTTTGTGGACTAACAAATAAAGTACAGCGAATTGAAACCGATTGCTCGCAATATAGACAATGCTTGGACGAAGGAGCTTACGCCGTTGCCAAGTGTTCTACCGGAAATTACTTCGATCCAGGACGGAAAGCCTGCCTGCCAGTAGCTATAACAGCAGCTCATCAGTGTAGTTGTGTGCTACCAGAAAACGCAACCCTTTCCAATCCCAACGACTGTGAGACATATTTCCGCTGTCACTCCGGACAGGCTGTGCTGGTGCAGTGTCCATCGGGAGATTACTTTAACGAGAAATTGGCCAGCTGCATACCGGATTACACAGGAATTTGCCTAGAGAAGCCTACAATGCCGCCAGGGCTCACGGAGGAAGCTCTAGCTATGGACGAGTGCATCCGGACAGGTAGTCGCATGGCGCCACACAGTCGGGATTGTCAGCGATACTACGTGTGTACCAAAAACCGGGTGTTAGAGCTGCGCTGTCCCAGGGGTCAATATTTTGATGTAGTTCACCGATATTGTAGTCTTGATCTGAAGAGCGAATGTCAGGAGCCACAGAAGGAGGAGCACGAGCCGCAGGCGGAGGAGCAGAAGAAAGACGTTCCCGAGGTGGACATTCCAGTGAAAAAAAATGTAGAGACCGAAGGTCACAAGCCGGTTCAGAAGAAAATTGAAAAGGAGGTGGTGTATCACAAAGAAAGCCCAGAGACGGAGCAGGCCGATGTTAAACAGCCACAGACTCCATTGGACGCAGTCAGCAGCTACGACAAGTTCTCATCCAAATTCATTTCCTTTTAAATTCATAATTTTAAGCTATAAATTTCTATGCTTCTACAATTTATAGTAGTGCATTAACACTTTTAAAAAAAGCCATTCGACTTCAAAAATTTTAGTTTGGCTTTTACTAGAATTCACGTGTTTTTTTTTTTTTAACTCACCTTAAATGAGGACGGGCAGTAAGGAGCATGGTTTACAGTCCGGCACAAGGTGGTGATGCACTGCGGCAGTGGTTCGCTGGGGAAGATGGTGTACCCGATGACCATTTCGAGAATTGTCAGGCATTGTAGTCCGATTTCGTTGACTGTAACGCTGCAGCTCAGGTCGCAAGCATTTCTGTAAAATAATATGTGGATTTTTTAGAAGAGGAACAAAGTATTAGAAGTAGCTCCACTGACTGCACGATGCCCACGAGGATGTCTTTGTCCAAATGCGCTGCATTGAACTTTATCAGGTTTACTAGCATGTCAAGATAGGGGCTGAGCAGATTGGCTTCTGCGATTGCTGGGATCCAGAGTAGCATGAACTTGCCAATCTGTAAGAGCAAGACATAACTGATATGCGGATTGTCGAGCCGTACTGAATTTTACTCAGACCTTCTCCTCAAAGTTGGTGATGTCCTTCCCGTTGTCGGTGAGTGTGTCGAGCAGCTCGAGCAGGTGGCGGAGATCCTCGCGCGCCTCGTGGTTCTGGATGACCAGGAAAAACTTTTCCCGCATGATGGTTAGGTTCTTGTACTGTGTGTGAATGAGCCGCTTATAGAAGCTCAAGGCAATCTGGCGCGTTTCGGCCGGCTTATTGGGCACTATGAGATCGTTGGTGAGCTTGAACAAAACGGTGACGGCGGTCTGTGGTGGAAGTGCGAACAATTAGGACGTTTTCAGTTAATAAATTAAACAGAACGTACCTCGTCCAAATTGAAGTTCTGCAGCTGCGTGTCGCCTAGCTCCTTCAGCATCCTGCAGCGCTGGGCCACCGGCTGCTCCGGTCGCAATTCCCTCTCAAATTCCGGCCGTAGCGTCCGCTCGCCCACATAACCTGTGAATTTCGGAATCCCATTGGAAATCATATTGTCAAAAAGGTGCACCAAGCTCATTGTTACCTGCCGGCAGCGTTTTGATGAACTGCTTAAACTTGGACTTGTCCTTGGAGCTCATGGTGGGTCCTTGTAAGGGGCGGAGGTTGGTGGAGCAGTGGCGGTACGTATGCAGCCAGTAATTCCTAGCCTAAATCCTAATAACAATTTAAACACAGCGCAGAACAGAGGAAATCAGAGCTAAACAGCTGATGATGCGATGCAGTGTGGCCAGATGGGGAAACGGCTCTCAAACCTAAACGTTTTTGACCAGCCCTGATTACTGTCACTAAGAAAATCCATCACTTTTAAAGGTAATTTTAATTAACTCATTTTCATTTTTAATATTAGTAAAAACTATAAAAGTACAATTAATGTACTATTTTTATTTCCGATTATATTGATATTAAAGAAATAAAACTTGTTCTAAATTATATCTCTATGTATTTACAAGTTTAACTTAAGTCAAAATTAAAAAGCATTCTTATTTTTTAATTAAACAATCGATCTTAAAATGTGATATTTATCGATTTAACGATCGATCTTAAAATGTGATATTTATTAAAAATCATTGAAACATTATTGATAGCTTTATGCTAGAATTAAAAATCAAGCTTTGGTCTGATAAGCATTTTACATGACCTGAGAGAATATCTCTTCTGCTTCGTATAACCCCACCAAATTCCATTAAGATCTGTGAGATTGATTTTGGACCGATGGTAGAAACCATTTAAGTTACTGAAAAAAAAGAAGGTATGAACATATATTATCGAAACTGTAATTATTATAATTACCAGTGTGGAGTTTCCCCCCACCAAGACCAACGAAATGAGGCGTCGTAAGATTCATAGTATGCTCTCTGGTGAATGAATTTCTTGCCAAGAGAGGCCGATAATGCATCGCCGGCATTCCCCGAGTATGTACCGAGGGATTTTATACAGTAACCTTCGTAACCGCTGCCAATCACAAAGTTATCATATCTAGCAAATGAAGTAACATTATCAAAGTCCTTAAGTTGGATGTACAATTCGTGTCTTCGGCTGGTAGTCAACAAGTGGAGCTTTTCACAACCAATCCAGAATTCACTTCGAAGGTCTCCAAATCCGTTTTTGTAACTAATTTCATACTGTAGCTGCATCTCGTTAAACGAGACACTTCCATCAAAACGACGCTGGATAATCATCCAACCCATACCAGCGGAGGGGATGTCCTGGAAAACTGCTTCAAAGTCTTTGGGTCCAGAAACTTCAAATGGCTTATCATTTTGTTCTTTTGAGAAATTTGACAAATTTAGATTCTTGGTTGAGTCGAGTAATTTTTTTAATTCATTAATATCGCTTTGCATCTGATTTATTTTTGGCTCAATAGCTTTCAATGAATTTATAGTGTCTTCCTTATCCACTATAATGTTCCGTTGCTTTAAGCTCGTTATACTTTTGACCACATCTGTCATTTTCTGGTCTAGGTCATTAATGTTGCTCTGTAGTTCTTGCACAAGCTCACCGTTTGATTCCATAAGTGAATGGCTACTGAGCTGAAATATTTTTTATTTATTGTATACTTACAAGTTATTAATTTCTTAGCTCTTACCACATTATTGTCGGTAGTAGATTCTTGGGAAGATTCTTCAGTGTTATGAATAGGCGAGTGATCGCTGGGATTCATGACCAAAGCTTTTAGTATGTGAAACTAAAAAGATTTTTCAAAGACAATTATTAAATTTGTTTAACTTTTTTTGTAAGCTTAGAATCCGTTTACTCAGGCTTTCATTATGTAATACTTCAGCATGCTAACTTTTACAATTTGTTTGGAAAACCACAGATAACATAAATTGTGTTCTTATTATTATCACCAAAGAGTTCATTTCCCTTTAGACATCGTCAGATTTTTGAAGAAAGAAAAATAAAGTCATAAAAATATTATCTCTTCTAGCGCCCTTTTTGGTATTACCCCAAAAATCTAGGCCTGACATAAAACCTCAGTTTTGCGATCTAGTTTAAGTATTGTCAAAGTTCTTAAACAAGTTTTAATATAAATTAATTTAAATTTAAATTGAAAACTTAGAAACAAGCTCAAATCACACGTTGCTTTACCTAGCCAAATCGGAAATAAAGTGAAAACAGTATTTGACTATATTACAGATAGGAAATAGTTCTGGTTATCGATCAAAAACAATCGACCTACTAAATTCGAATATTTTCAGTGTTAGAAACGGACAACGAACTAGTTCAAATCTGTTAGTCACCGTATTTTAAATTATGTTTAAAAATTAAATATAAAATTGGTTTTCTTCATTTACATTTTCTGCAAACAATTTAGTCTGACTTATTTGAATTCAATCAATTTGATTGTATCGAATAATGGTCGCTTGGGATCGCCAAAATACTAAACATATCTAAATATACAAATAAAAAGAATTCGTTAGTTTAAAAATCTTAATTTTAAATAAAAGTTTTCATAATGATATACAAATTAAGTCTTCTTATCTAAAAATCAATATGCCATTTAAGAAAAATATTGCTTAACTTCCTTTATTTTTGTATTTGTTTGAAACAAATTAAAGTTCCCCTGATTGAGTGATATCAGGCCCGAAGCACTTTTGAGATTACCGTCGGCATTCGTTTGGATCGTTTGGATCATCCTCCAAAGTGACATCTAGTATACCATATATAAGTTAAAGCGTTCTCCGGGCTGTCTCCCTACGTCATAAATCAGCCAAGAAGCTGACTTGACTTGATGTGGCTATATTTTGCCGTGCTTCGACTGACGGTTCCTTCTTATAGTCGTACGATTGGGCTCGTTGATTTATAACAAGTTGCTGCGGCTGTTGCTGCTGCTGCTGCTGCCTCTTCTCCAGATTCGTTGTTTGGCTTTAATTGCTTCTGGCCGTTATTATTGTATTGATACAAGGTTAATCAATTGCACTAGGAAAGCCAACAGGGTCTTGTATAGGAAGTGTTAATTTCGACTTTGGATCGGAAAAAAAATTCACAAAGCTGCTTGTATCTTCCCTGCCAATTCGAATGTAAATTTATGTTTTTATACTTTTATGGCATTCCCGTCTATTAAAAGTCATCGCCATGGGCCGTTGGCCAATTAGCGTCTATAAACGGGTATCGTCTGGACCAAAGTCTCAGCTCTTCTATTTATATAACATGTGTCCAGACGGAGGGCATGATAGGGATGACTAGGCTGGTTAGAATCACGATCGCAATTTCCACGCATGACAGGTGTAATAGCCACATCCATTCTGGGCGGTAAATTGTGTCTGGGGACTATTTTTTATCGGCCGAACGAAAGTGAACATCACATTTAACGCTTCGCAGTCTGCGACTTCAACCGGTATGTGTCTGAATCCAAGTCTCTGACAACCGATATATCTGTATACGAGTATATATGTTGTACTTTTGTTCTGTTTCGCCAGTCTCGCACATGCGATTATTGTGTGGTTTTGTGTTTTTTTTAGTTTTATTCCATTTTATTCTATGCGTAGTCGTAGTCGTCGTCCGCTGCCCGCTGCTGGGACTCCGTATAAAATCAGCATAATCGGAAATTCTACCCAACAGTTGGTTCTAAGCCACCGACGGAGCCGGACGCTCATCGCGGTTTTTGGTCTCGAATAATTGATTTCGACTGTCAATTTATTACGTCCCCTAACTTCAGTAATTGTGCAATTCGTGTGTGAGAATACCAATTGCAAGATTTACAAAAATAAATAAATAAGTGAAATTTTATAAGGTTTAAAACCCCCTGCTGATAATTTGGTGATTGTGATTAAACGTAGGCTACATAGAAATCTACATAAGAAGGTATGATTTCGCGCTGTTCTATATATTCGCGTTCGCTTCCTAAGTCTTTTGTTTCGCGTGTCGCTGAAAGGAAGCAAATTCGCTTGGCTAAATGAAATCGAAATTTAAATCAATCTTTATCACAACTGGATTTGGCACGCTCTGTAGATGTCTCATATAGCCCCGCTTCGGTTTCCCTCTTCCTCGACACTTCCGCATGCAGTCCAGTATAATTTGGATAATTTTAACCATTTTCGGCAACTTTGTGAACTGAACAGTTTTTATTCTATTTTTTTGAAATTTTAATGAGTGACTTAAGAGCTGTGTGCATAAAATATGGTGTTGATTTAATCTTAATATAAATGTAGTAACAAATAACGCAACAAGTGGAATAACTTTTAAAGTAAAGGCTTAGATTTTATCGAGAATATATTAAAATGACTTTCGTTCTCTTAAAATAGAAGCAGCTGTCCAGCTTTAAAGATTTTCAAGCTTCAAAATAAATAGTAATTAAGAGTGTTTAAACTGATCGTCCATAATAATAGTTAATTATATGGTTTCTTTGCCGATAAATGCTGAGAATGAGCCAGAACAATTATTAAAATTTAGTTTAAAAGGCATGCGGAGGTATTTCATCAAATCACAATTCTCACCTATCCAAATTGATTAGTCATTTCGCTTTATTTTGTGGCTCCGAAAGATTTTGTACCATAGCAATAAATTAGCATAATGTGGTCAATATTATTTAATGCTAAAATGTTAAAATTAGTCGGCTCCAAGCCGACGAAGCCAAAACAAAAGCCAAAAAAACAGACAAAGGTGAATAAACTGAAGAGACTGGAGCTCTCGGCTTCTGTGTAATTTCTTGGCCAAGCTTGGGGAACTGGTTCAAAGTCGAGGACGTCATCAACGAAACCGAAAGTGTAGTGTAGTGGCTAGAGCAGACGGACCCACTTACCTGGTTAAGACTTACATGGCTTTTATCTTATCTCTTGTCTCAGCTGTCTTTCGAGATGTCATCGATTCGGTTAATTTGCTTTGGCCTCCTCTTCCTGGTCATCACTTTGGGCCATGTGACGTCACAGCGTACGTCACTGGACGTGGCTCTGAAGAATGCCTATAGACCGCTGCGTCTCCTGGGCCTGGCCTTCACCGGAAGATCTGGCGACGATCCACAAAACGTGCATCGCGTGCAAATTGCGGGGGTAAGTCCACTCGATAATAATGCAATCATTGATCCGGATTCGATTGGAGTATTTTTGTATTCCCTTTTGGTCGAGTATAAAAATTTAATTGAAATTCGGTCAAGATACTGTTATTTCATTTTTTAATTGAAAAGATTTATTGATAATAATAAAGAAATAAGAAAACTCGGTAAAGTTTAAATTGATCGTTTATCTCTGAATTCAATCCATTGCAGAAAACCCAGAAATCGAATCCACGTACTCGAGCCTTACTTGAGTTCTGTGATGCGGAGCATGGTCCAGGAAAAAGGAGCCAGGAGAGACCAACAAGTGTACACCGTTTGCGACCTGGAGACATCGATGTGATCGGGGCAATGGGTGACTCGTTGACAGCTGGAAACGGCATTTTCGCCACGAATCTGCTTCATGTGACTGTGGAGAACAGAGGTGTCGTTTGGTCCATTGGGGGTCAGTATGATTGGCGAAAGTATCTCACCCTGCCAAACATCCTCAAGGAGTTCAACCCGAATCTATACGGATATGCGATTAAGGATGGAATCTCTACGGACCGCACCTCTCGCTTTGATGTGGCCGAATTGGCTGCCATGTCCAGGGATATGCCCTATATGGCTAAGGTCTTGGTTCGGCGAATGCAACGAGATCCCAAAGTAAACATGACCACCGACTGGAAGTTGATCACTCTTTTCATTGGCAATAATGATTTCTGCACGGATATTTGTTATTATCCGGAACCAGAGAAGACGGTTGACTGGCACGAACGGAATATGCTAAAGACTTATCGTTATCTAAGGGATAATGTGCCACGCCTTATGCTGAACATAGTACCCGCCCCGAATCTGCGATTCCTTACCAATCTTTCCGGTCTGCCGCCTATCTGCTACAGTACACTCCGCTTCGAGTGTCCCTGTTTGATGGGTAAGGGCAAGGGACAGCTGGATTATCTGGAAGGTATCATGAAACGCTGGATAGCCAAGGACTGGGAGATTGCCAACAGGGAGGAGTTTAACACCGAGGTGAGTTTTACTGCTCTAAGATAATGAATATTTATATTTGCTTAATTACCATTTCCTCAATTTTCTCTATTTTCAGACGTTTACGATAAATGTTCAGCCATTTTCGCAGTTTGAGGACTTCCCACGCACGCGATCCGGACAAACGGATACTCGATTCTTCTCTGAGGACTGCTTCCATCTTAGCCAACGAGGACATGCCGCAGCAGCCAATTCCATATGGAACAATATGCTGGAACTTCCTGGGGAAAAGAGTGGATTTGCCACCCGTCTCTTCGAGACTTTCCACTGTCCCAGCGAACAGCGTCCTTACCTCATCACACGGGAGAACAGTCGCCCGGAGTTTGTGATCTAATCGCGAATGTGAGGCCTGTTCTACGCTGTGAAATACTCCCTGTGATATCTCGCCTAAGTCTTCTTTCCAAGTTTTCTTGTTTATTTGTAGCTTTAATTAGCCATATGCTAAGTGTAAATATTCGATGAGAATGAGAAAGTCAAATAAAATGTTATTCTTAAACTACGTGAGTGAATTTCGCATGGCGAATTTTGCATATTCCTAGCATAAATGATGGGCACGTGTGTTTCTTTGGCAGAGTTTGGAAAACTTTGATGGCACTTGACATCGATTACAAGCGATCCATAATAATGAGAAGATATAGTGCCTAAGTGTCTATTTATATGCTGAGCTTAAAATATAATCGTAAAGTTTGATGGCTTAAATAAGGAAAAAAAAACAATGTTTTGGTAAAAAGAACTTATTAAATAATAGAAATCTGTGGAAATTTACTGGATTTATTTTCTCGCCTCTACAAATAAAGTGTAAAAAGTTGATCATCCATAAAGAAGAGACAATAAGGCAGTTATATATATTTAATAGTTCGCTTGGCTCGCTTCTTAAATGTATTATTACTATAAAAATGTTTACAACGAAACATAAACATAAAAAACTGGTTCTATTATGCAAAAGAATTGGAGTAAACTGAGTTAAATCCAAAATTAATAGCACCTCCTAAATAATGACATAAACCTAATGAGCATGTGAAAACGAGACCCAAAAAATAATGTTAATTATTATGTTCCCGAACAAATCGTTTCTTTTGTTCCCCAAACGGAGTAAATTGCTCACCTTAACAAAAAAAATGAAATAAAATTAATAACCCATTAAGTGCTGACAATAAGGCAGCAATATATTTTTTAAAACATCTACCGGCTCGTTATAAAGTTGCGAATCACCCCGTGATAAGCGATAAGAACTACCGATGACACACGACAAACAGTCCGTAAATGGGCGCGTCATAAAACCTGTTACAATTTCGTATTTTTTTTTCAGTCAGCGAGGCGCACGACTCAACGAACATCAATAAATTCGGATCATAATTCTAGTTTAATTCAGTTGCGGGGTATAAAAATGAATTGCTCGCCGCTCGACGTACGTGTTTTTCACCGGGCTAATGATCCCCGCCCAGCCCCATTGCTCCGCCTCGAAAACCACCAGCTCAACGGTTTCGCTGTCTGGTGTTAAAAACTAGCAACAAACATCAGGTAAAAAAATAAAAAAAACCTAACTTATCTCATATACTTCGAGAGCTTATTGCTGCATTTCAAAGCTGGCGCATTGTCATTGACTTTGAACTTGAGCCCCATTCCCCCGCATATCGGTCAGCACATTTTTGGGCTCCGATTTCGGATCTTATATATTCGCATATATGTGCGAGGCATGGTCGACGAGTTTCTGAAACTATTCGCAGAATCTCTAGTGTAAGCCTTGGTAATAGATTTTGCATTTCCTATCAATACAGCACCTACAATTTGCTACAAATTTGCATTATGTTTATTTACTGTAAATTAACAACCTAAAGATTTTCAAACTATAGGAAAGGTATATAATACTCTCCACTTTAATTAGGTAAAAACTTGCATCTATTTATTCCGTCCGCGTAGAGATCTTATAACAATAACATCAATTAAATGGAAGGTCTGGTGACCTATCTCAATAAATAATCATAGAAAGTGAACTTCAATCATTGGACGGGTAACTCTGGAATGGAATCCGGACACTGTTTACCAATCAAGTATAAATCAATAAAAAATGATTTGATATTAAGTCACAGACTGCATATAGCGAAGGTATCAAAGTATAATTACCTGTTTTGCGTTTATCTTTGTATGGCCAATAAATTCAAACTCGTTTGCTTGGCGCCTATTAAAGCGACACCTTTGGGTAGAGGTCAGTACTCATTTTACATACGATGAATATCGTATAATGTTTATTGTGAATTAATAATATGTGGTATACACTTTACTCAATGAGTTTGAGGGTATATTATTTTAGTAATGAATGAAACGGACCAAAATAAATTTAAAGGCAATCAAATCAAAATCAAAAGAATGTGTCTTCTTGATCAGAATGAGCGCCCGTAACCTAAGAACTTTGAAAACAAATATTTGTGGCTCTATATTGACTGAGAATATTTAATGTTTACATGATATTAAAAATCAATGTTTTGTATTGTTGAAAATACGAAAACTGTTATTCAGATATTTTTAAAGAATATTATATCGTTTAGCCCCTAAGGTCTTTGCCACAAAACTGTTAAAAAAGTGGTTTCAGGTATTTTGGTAATGAAGCGAATTGCCATAGTAGATAGTAAATAAGAAAAACCGTTGACAAAGAGTTCTTGAATTTTTCTGCTTACATCGCACTCTCAACATTATATATTCCGTTGCACTTTGGCCCGAGTTGCGCATTTGCGGAAATTTCAAGCCATGAGAGAAGACCATCAAAGATTCCAACTCCAAGCAGGGGCAACAGTTTTTCTGTTGGGTAAGGTTCAGTTTTTCTCCTGTCAAACATTACAAAGAAGAATGTGGTTAGATTTTTTACTTAATAACAGATTTGCTTACTAATAGTTTTACAGCTCTGCTGCGCCTTGCCCCATTCTTCTTCCCCCGGCAATGAAATCGATGACGGTAACTACCAAAACTCCGGTATTGGAAGACCGGTGGACTATCATACGGTCGTGGGCCACTTCAAGGACTTCTTCATGTATCTGCCTGTGATGATGACCACGCTGAAGGAGACCATGTCAGGATTCCCCAAGTTCGCCGAGGGTATGCGCATTTTGACTTCAGGTAAAGGACGAGTTGACGGCGAGGACTGTAAGTGCAGTCAAAACGGATTGGGAAGTGGCGAACTTCTGGACACCAATAGTCGATTTGGGTGATTCAAATTGAGAGCTGATTCTTCACACCTGTAGATACTGTACATATGCAAAGAAATAAAAACAATTCTAAAACATAATATCTATCTGGGATTTACTCTAGCACTAATGTCAATAAATATCTTGTGCGATTGGCCTTAGTTTTGGAAAGACATAATTCATCAAAATCAATAGCCTTCTCTTAGGGTTAGTATAGGTAGTTTTACAGTGAGCAATGATAAATCTACCTAAGAAAAAGAAACCTTTAAGTTAAATACTTGCTAATTAGTTGGCATGACGGGTAATACATACAATATTAGTACACGTAACAATGATTATTTCATAGTCATTAAACGAAACTATTGACAATTTCCAGTCACAGAAAAGGATAAATTTGTTTGCCGATGACTCTTTTAGTAAGCCAATAAGAAAATCAATTCAGGCCAGTTGACTATAAATTAAGTGGCCCAAGAAGCTTCCATGCCCTTGAAATATAAATTGGTTAGGCAATGACCACGCAAGATATTCATAACCAACTTGGATTGGACTTGAACTACATATATTTCCAGTTATTTTCTTAAGTTGTTGGCTAGCTTATTAGCCAGACCCCTGGGAATGCTCACAACCTGCCCGCCTTGTGAATGGAATGGAGACTAATCAAAGCCACGAATCTGCATGAGCAGCGGGGGTGGTGTCCCAACACCCCCGAATTTCCCCCATGTCTCATGACCCACTGTCATGTTTGCACTTGTCATTATTGTTAATTGTATTTGCGGGGTGACCGAGCATGCATGGACTATATTTACATAGCAATCCGAATGGCCGAGGCGGGACAAGTGTAATTCAAAGTTACCACTTTCCGTTTCAGTGAGGTTCGCGGCGTTGTAAGGAACGCTACAGCATGCCCAGGAAGCGCAAAAAGTGGAATTACTAAAGAAGCAACAGGAAAAGATTATCTCTACGAACAAGAACTAAATTAAATATCCGCCTCGATGGCCACTGGCATCGAGTTGCTAGTGGCCGCCGCCCTTTGCGCTACCTGTCCATCGCTAAATGAAACTCTGCCATCGAATCTAATCCTGCTGGGAGAAGGTAGCAGCCTGCCAACCGAAACGCCCATCGCTTTGGAGACCTCGGATGCTGGACTCGATAATGATGCCCCCGCGCCGACCAAGGAGCCCCCCGCAAACAAGAAGGTGGAGAAGCTTCGCGAGATGCGCGAATGGATCGCTGGCAAGCATTTGCGCATCGGAACTCTCGAGGACTTTCCACTCAGCTACACTCAGCTCCTGGATAACGGCACTCGAATCGGCCGCGGAGTCTCCTTTCAGATCATAAATTTCCTCAAGGAAAAGTTTAATTTTACATATGAGGTCGTCACACCCCAAGACAACATTATCGGATCTATTGCTGACTTCGATCGTAGCCTCATTAAGATGGTGAATACGAGTGTAAGTAGTCTTCATGAACTGAATAGTTTTACTTTTATTTTATAAAGTGCAGAAGCGAGAAAATGATTCCTTTTTGTATCTCGCAGGAAGTGGATTTGGCTGCTGCGTTTATACCCTCCCTTTCTGAACAGCGGACCTTTGTTTTCTACTCGAGCACGACGCTGGACGAGGGGGAATGGATAATGGTGATGCAGCGGCCCCGGGAATCGGCCAGCGGATCCGGACTGCTTGCACCTTTTGAATTCTGGGTGTGGATCCTGATCCTCGTTTCTCTTCTAGTCGTTGGACCTATCATCTACGTTCTGATCATCCTGCGAAACCGAATGACTGGGGATAACCAGCAGACACCCTATTCTTTAGGCCACTGTGCCTGGTTCGTCTACGGGGCGCTGATGAAGCAGGGCAGCACCCTGTCGCCCATTGCAGGTGGGCTGCAATTAGGTTAAAGTGCAATCGGTCGGCCACGATAGCCATCGCCAAGCGCTAATGGCCCACTGATTGCATGCGGGGATTGCAGGGACACCAGTTTGTCGTTTCATTAAACTCTTTGAAAACCATTACAGACTCGACCCGACTGCTCTTTGCCACCTGGTGGATTTTCATCACGATATTGACGTCCTTCTACACGGCCAACCTGACCGCCTTCCTGACCCTTTCCAAGTTCACGCTGCCCTACAACACGGTCAACGATATCCTCACGAAGAACAAACACTTTGTATCTATGCGAGGTGGCGGAGTTGAGTACGCCATTCGAACGGTGAGCTTAATTCCTCGGACCGAATTAATTAGTTAAAAAAGATACAGATAGAAGAAATCGATTCATTCTATTTAGATTGAGCGAATTGTTAGCACTTTTATTCCACTCCCATTTAAATTTTTATTCTTCATTAGTAATCTTTTTCTTTGTAATATTTCAGACTAATGAATCTCTATCCATGCTGAACCGAATGATCCAGAACAATTACGCCGTTTTCTCGGACGAGACCAAAGATAGTTACAACCTACAGAATTATGTGGAGAGGAATGGCTACGTTTTCGTGAGAGATCGACCAGCGGTCAACATAATGCTGTATGAGGACTATCTGTACCGCAAGTCCATCAGTTTCAGCGATGAGAAGGTCCATTGTCCATTTGCAACGGCCAAGCAGCCTTTCCTAAAGAAGAAGCGAACCTTTGCCTATCCGAGAGGTTCGAATTTAAGTCAACTATTTGATCCGGAGTGGGTAAGCTGAATAGTATACCGCATGGATAATTCGATTTTCTCCGTTTGTAGGTTGCTCAGTCTGGTGGAGTCCGGTATTATTAAGCATCTGTCGTCCAGGGATCTGCCCAGCGCAGAAATCTGTCCGCAGGATCTCGGCGGAACAGAGCGACAGCTGAGGAACGGCGACCTGATGATGACCTACTACATTATGTTGGCCGGTTTCGCCACGGCACTGGCCGTTTTCAGCACGGAACTGGTGTTCCGGTATATAAACAGTCGCCAGGAGGCCAACAAGTGGGCACGCCATGGAATCGGTCGAACGCCCAATGGCCAGTCGGTGGCTCCATCACGCTGGCTACGTGGCTGGAGGCGATTGAATAGTAGTCACGGCCAGCATCTGGAAGCCTCTACGCACGGCCAAAATGTCACCCCACCGCCGCCGTACCAGAGCATCTTCAACGGCGGAAGTCATGGAGAGCCAGTGAATCGATGGCGGCGACCTCTCGGCAACGGAAATGCCGTTGGTAATGGTGTTCTACTAGGCGGCGATTCTGAGGGCGGAGTCCGGCGTTTGATCAACGGTCGCGATTACATGGTATTCCGTAATCCAAATGGGCAGAGCCAACTCGTACCGGTGCGATCACCCTCAGCGGCCCTCTTTCAATACAGTTACACCGAGTAGATATTAGACCATAGGCAGTGATGGGGAAGTATAAGATATGAATGGCAAAGATTCATTCTTACTTACGTTTGGTTTACAGTTATTGTTCGTTTAAATCAATTTATTTATTAGTTATGAATTTTTTATAACTAACTAGATACTCCCCATCACTGTTCATACGAGGTGTGTTCAAAAAGTAAGGTGACTCTTCAAATTTCGCGAATTTCAAATTTTTCGATTATCGAAACCTTTTAGAAGTTATACGAGGTGTGTTCAAAAAGTAAGGTGTCTTTTCAAATTTCAAATTTTTCAAATTTTTCGATTATCTTCAGTTTTGGGAACAAGAAAAAGTCACATGGGGCCAAATCCGGTGAATATGGTGGCTGAGGCATTATTGTGGTGTTGTTTTTGGCCAAAAAATCCAAATCCTTTGATCCATATTTTTCGATAGCAAAAAATCGTCGAGCTCGCAAAACAACTTGTAACTTTACGCCTCTCACAACCAAACAAAAGAGGATGTTCCATTGAAACTTGGTACAGATGTTAGGGAAGAGTGTACCAATATAACAAAACAAAAAAATCGATAATCGAAAAATTTGAAATTCGCGAAATTTGAAGAGTCACCTTACTTTTTGAACACACCTCGTATGTATTTGCAAGACGCACCTGTAACCACCGCACTCAAGACGTAGACATCCAATTCGGAGGCTTTTTTAAAGATCTTTAAATAAAGGGCACTAAAAAGAAAGATCGTATTTTCTGGGGCAGTCAAAACTATGGTAAAAGTTGTTATAAACATTAGTCGCAAATCATATTTTATTTGATATTTTAACAATTTTAACGGCGAGGATTTTGAATCCTCTTGAATAATATTTGATTTTAGTATGTTTACGTATAAAAGATCAATAGACGTCTAATCCAACGTGGACTGCGGACTGAAGGCATAAGTAGACGACTGGACGTCGAGGCTGCCGTTGGAGGAGCAGGAGCTCATGGAGGGTGCCCTAGTTGACCTGGTTGAGGAGGCGGAAGATGATCCACTCGAGGAGGACGACGAACTGACCCAAGCGTGGCCACTGCGCCTCCTTCGTTGGCGCACTAGACCCAAAACCGATCCCGCCACCGGGGTAGAGGTGGAACTGGCTGACATCTGCCGCCGTATACCGGCATTCATGGATATCTGAATGGGCTCTGGAGCAGGAGCTGTGGATGGACGTTGGACAGTCGCCTCTGAGCCAGACTCCAGATCGCTGGACGTCGGAGATGAAGTCTCCCCAATCTCCCCCTGAGCTATGGGTGCGTTCAACACCCGTCCATCTAACAATTGCAGCGTGGGGACACTGCGTGCGAGGAGGGAGCGGTAGAGTGGCAGACGGCAGACCGGATTGCCCTGCAACTCCACTTCTTGTAGCTGGGGACACATTCCCAGAAAGGAGAGCAAGCCCAGTTCACTGATCCGATTATTCCTTGCCTTTAGAACCCGAAGATGGACCAGTTCGGCCAGAGGATCCACCCGCTGGATCATGTTTCCATCGGCGATGAGCACTCTGATTGCCGGCAGCCCACTGGTCCCGTCGAAGCTGTTCAAACCGCAGTTGCTAATATCCAGCCGTGTCAAGTGGAGCAAACCGTATCCCAGGTCACGTAGAGAACTCAGAACACTGCCGCTCAGATCGAGGTTTTGAAGACGCGGCAGAAAGAGGGACAGGCGGGATAGGCTGATTGTGTAGGAAATCACGCGCAGCCGCACCGATTCCACAGCTTCCAGATCTGTGCGTTGAGTCACTCGCCGCTGAAAGGTCATCACAGGATTATTAAAGTGGCTTTATACATATTATGAGTAGATTTCGCATACCAATAGCTCGTCTAATGTAGGTTCCGGAGCCTGTTGGGGCAACACCACGGGCAGCAAATGAACGAAGGCCGGAAGATGCTGAGTCTCCTCGGCAATGGGCACATCCCGGTCGAAGGAGTTACGGCGACCCAGTTGTCTACGGTTAAACTGCGCCCGTTGCTGCTGCTGGGCGGGATTATGCTGGTTGAGACGAACCTCAGGTGGAGGCATTCGTACCTGGGCTAAAGCCGCCGGTCCGGGCGGAGCTAAAACTATGGGTAGCTCCGCCTGAAGGGAGTGCTCCGGAGAGGTCTCCAGATACTCGGCAGGAGCCTCTAGCAGCGGCATTTTCAGAATTTTATTTTAGTTACTCTTTCTTGGGTGTCCGGCTGTATTGTGACTATACGTGTTGATATAACAACCTGACAGTTACCACGGGCAACATCAAGTGATGGAAGGGATTTACTCTATCAGACCATATTTCTACAAGTTACGAGTGAATAAATGTGTTAGGCAGATATCTGACTTTACTCGAACCATTTAAAATTAACGAAAGAAATACAAGCTTGGATTTTGTTGGACATTTATGAGTCCAGAGGTTTTACAAAGCAATCTTTTGGATTTCAGCAAACAAGCTAAAAAATTTAGAGTTTAAGTTGAAAGATATTGGGTGAATAAACTTTGCTTTGCTTTCATTCCACAAAGCCAGAAAAAGTCCTTAGCTTTGCTCACAAATGTGTATGTGTATCGATCTGCCTTTTTGCAGCATTCCGCTGCTCGCATTTATTACTCCTTAGCCGCGTTTTTCTTTTTTGGCAATAAGCCCACTGACGTCAGTGTGACGTCATGGTCGTGACGTTCGCTTTTCACATACAAACTCTCACCGACGTGTTTTCTTTCTCGTTCTCTCTCTCTCGGTATGTCTGTCTGCTGTGTAAGAGAGTTCTCGTTTCGCTTTATCCAGAGGCGTATTGAAAAGGGTTGCTGAATGAGACCTATAAAAGATGCAAAGTATAATAAATTGATTAGTCATATTAATGTAAGAAATATACATTAAAAAAATAATCAAATTCGGAAAAAATACAGCACAAAACTGTTTTTAAAAAAACTTGAATTGTTTTTTAAAAGATTTATTTATTTTTAACCTACCCTTAGACCCCCATATAAATTTCTAGGATGCACCTTCCTCGCAGACTTTTGCCATTTCAAGGGCCATTAGCTAACACCATCGCCAGAAGGTTTCTCCGTCAGACTCTCTCTCTCTCTCTCTGTCTTCCTTTCTCACTTTCTGCCTCTCGTTGGCTTTACTATAATCAAATTTTCCTGACGCCTGTCAAGCTTTTGCCGGCTTTTGTGAATTTTCCGCGGGGTGAAGGACGGGGCTCCTAGGGGAGGCACTGTTGTTGTTTTGGTTTTGGCTGGAGCTTTTTCCATTGACGTCATCAGAGGCGAAAGCTGCGCAGTGAGCTGACATCCTACCACGCATTTATCGATTACACAGGGAAGAGAGTGGGAGAAAGTAGAAGAAATAAAGATAGGAAGAAAGAGAGAGCGGGGGAAGAAAGGACGAACGTGTGGGCGAATTTGGTTTTTGCAAAACATGGCTCGACATGAGCTGAGGAGAAAAGTAAGCACAACAACAAATTTAAAACAAACTCAAAAATCTGTAAAATATCTTTTAAACAAAATCAATCATGTTCAAGCATCAACAATAGGAAGTATTCACTAAAATTACATTCAAAGTAGTACGGCTTTTCTCTCAGTGCAGCGCAGCTCCTTTTTAAATATGGGATCCGGTGTTGCCAATAAAATCCCATCTTCAGCTCGCACATTTTTATAGATGCCTAAAAATAGAATTTGTCAATAATGCCAACAAACACACACATACACCCGTTATGTGTGGGTGCACAGACACGCACTGTTGACGTCATTGTCCCTAAAGCTCTAGCGCTCTCTCTACGTCCCGTTACTACGTTACAACCCAATCAAAACTTATTCTCTCCATAAATACCGTTCTACTCAATTGTTCTCACAGCGACGTCGACGTCGGCGCTGGCGTCGCTGCCGCAATTAACAGTAGTGTTCCCCGAAGCGTGGTTTGCGACCTCGCTAAATGTACTTCCGATTTCATACGTAGAATGTCAATTAAACAAAACCTTTAAATTATAGGTATTTTCCGGTTTTGGGTCAATTTTTGAAAAAAACATTGAAAACAAATTTTTAGATTTGAATGCCAGCTTAATAAACACCGAAATTCGAGCTCAACGAGGTATGCCAATCCATATTCCGATCATGTTTGGCTTTTTTATGAGAAAAATACTGTTTTGGGGAAGGAAAATCAAGATTTACCTAGGTTTTGATTTCTGGACAGAGTCGGTAATTTTATGAAAAAAAATTATAAATATTTTTTTTTAGATTTGAACGCAAGTTTAATATAGACTGAAATTCGAGCTCAACGAGGTATGACAATCCATATTCCAACCATTTTTGGCTTTGTTATGGACAAAATACTTGATCAGCGGCGTAGGCTTATTTGGGCTTACCAGATATTCGTAGCATCCTTACAACATTTTTTAGCGGAAACACAAACCATAGTTGAAATTAGAAATGCATTGTCAACAAACTTCTGTAATTTTCCCCACTGTTAACAGCGGCAGAGAAGTCGACGGCGAAGAGAAACGGTTGTTTCAAAGCTGGGAGAGCGAAGTCTATTTAAGCCCCGCGCAAAGTTCAAATCGTTGTTATTGCAGAAGAGGTTTTCGAACGCGTTGCTTTAGTTTCGGTTCCGTTCGCCTTTAAGAAGTATCAAGGAATATCGGATAAAGCCATGGATATCGCGGAGTAATAATATCACGCGATAACGTAACAAAAAGATTAATATTTCCAATAAGAAATATATGTTTTTTTGGCATTGATAATATATACATAGATGGTACTAAAGTGAAGCCTTGAGGAAATGCCACCAGCTCGCAGCTGAGCTGCATTCGCCGTTTGTCGTAGTGGTCGTGTCCTCTCGCGAGTGTGTGGGTGTGCACCGTGTGTTATTTGGGTCAAAAGCTGCATCAGCACAAAGTTCCCGTTACCGTTCCCGTTCCTGTCACCAGGGGGTGTCCACCTGTTATGCAGCTGGTCTAGAATCTCCGACTGGCTCGACTCGGCTTGGATCCCAAAAAACTAGGATCCCTGATGGAGGCGAAGGTGCACCGCCAGCACCAGCGGCATCGCCGCACGGAAGCACGTCAGAGGCGCCTGGAACGCGAGGCGGCCGCCACTGGAGGACCACCACCACCCACCACGCCCGAACGTGCGGAGGCCTTGGACTGTGCCACCGCCCTCAATGAGGGCGTGGTATCAGCGGATCCGGGCGGCAGCGGCGGTACGCCTAGTAGTGCAGGTCGCATTAGTGCCCAGAGTTCGGCGGACAGCATCGAGCTAGTTGGTTCACCCAGTCAGACTTCCCAGCAAACGGTCGTTCTAGTCAATGGCCATGCCCCACCCGGCCAAGGAGAGGAGGAGGAGGAGTCACCATTGGGGGTTAGCAATCCACGGGAATCTCCACCCCCGCCCAAGCAAAGCGACGGCAGTCGCAACTCCTCCGGCGATGCGATGAGCCTGCGAGAGACCCTGCAGCAATTACCGGCCACCCATCATCATCGCTCGAGGCGCGATCTAGGAGATCCGGATGCCTCCTTTCATCGGGGAATACTTGGGTATATGGATCGGGAGCTAAAGCAGTGCTCGCCCACGCCATCCGCCCCCGCCGGAATAGGAACGGGAAACGGAAATGGCAATGGCACTGGGGCCTCCCGAAAACAGCAGTCCCTGTCGGATCCCCAAGCAAGTCCCGCCCAGCGCTCCCTGCGGTCAAGGAGCAGTTTCGATAAGAGTCCTCGTCGAAAAAGGAGCAAGTCAGAGTCTCGGAGGAGACGCGAACGAAAGCTTATTGCCGCCGGGGAAATGGAAGTGCGCCAGGCCAACGAAACTCTGATGCGGTACCTCAAACAATGCTCCGACATGCATGACGCCTCGCTCTCCGGCGAACTAGAGATCGACCAGAGCCTCGAAGAGCGTCGCGTCCATCGGAAGACCAAGTCGCAAAGGGACAAACGGGGCCAATTAATCAGTGAGTAGTTTTTTTTTCAAACAGTCGGTTATAGAGGATGATATATTCTAGTCTTATGTTCTTTATGTTAACTGTTCTTTGGGGTAGGTTATTTATCTCTCACAGAGCTCTTGTGGTGCCTAAACCCCTAAAACACCACATTTTAGTAACCATATTATAATTCAAGTGGATTCTGTATAATTTACGATTGACTTATCAATACGTAAAGATACCGAATTGATAACCACATTTGGTGATATTTTTCTGTGCTATCCCCGTTTTCCCCACCTTCAGGTCCCTAGTTCCATTGACTAAAACCAGCTGAGGCAAAAGCTCCACCCTTCCACCTAATCACCCACTAACTGTTCTCTCGATTCTGCGCATTCGTCCAGTTAAGGCACTTGAAAAAAGCCATGAGACATTATTCAAGCTTGTAGGCGTTTAATTAATTTGATTTTTATGCTAGCATTGATTATGCCATTTTTAACGATTCTAAAGACAATATTCTTAACTTCAATTTTTAATTATTAATAAAACCTTTTACGGTTTTTAAAATGATTATCATTTTAAGTTGTTAAACATAGGGAGATATATTAAAAAACTGCATTAAGACTTTTGAATATTAAATAAACATTTTTACATTAAGAGTAAAAAGAAATCTAAAAATTAAACATTATCAGAATGCTTGAATGTGAAAGGTTACGATGTTGTAATAATGACCTACAAATTGTTCTCAGTGCCGTCACATAATGTCATTCGTTTCCTTCATCCTCCCTCAGGCAAACTGTACTCGGCTGGCGGGATATCTTCGATACTGAAGGAGCTGGCCGACGACATAGCTCCTGCCGAGGGTGAGGAGATCTACAACCCATTCACGCCGGTCGTCTCGCCCACGGACGATGCGCCCGCGCACATAGACAAGATGTTCCTGCAGACGTCATCCGGATATCGACCCGTGGAGCATAGCTACTACAAGCGCTCCTTCCTGGGGGCCGCTGTTCGTGGATCCGCCGGAATTTCGGTATCCGGTGTAGGAAGCGGAGGTCGCCTTGATGGCATCTCTGCCGCAGAGTTGGGTGGCGCCGGTCGCCTCTTTCGCTCTAGCGGCAGTCATGGTGGTTCCGGTATCGGCGGAGCAGCCAGCGGCTTGGGGAGTGGGCGTGGCAGTTATGGAGATACCCGCTGCCTGCTCGATGGCGACTTCAGTCGGTGAGTTAGAGACGTCATTAAAAATAGTTGCATAGTTTTTTAGGGAATATTTATATTTTAATGGGATTTATTTCAATGTTTCTTATTCTAATACCTGATTTTAATGCAAGCTCTACTCTCTTCTAGCAATGGCATCACCAGCAACATACAACTAGCCTGTGTAGTTCAACGAATCTGGCTGCTCATCTCGAATATATGCCACGGTCTGCTAGCCGGTCTAGCATTGGCCCATCTACTCTTCGTGCTGAGCAGCCCTCCCATGGACTGGGCCAAGGTCATCAATGGCATGAGTCTCGCTGGCGAGACGATGTCATCAACCGCCCAACCCCCAACTGCATCCACATCTGCATCGACACCATCAGGGATAGATATCAACACTAGCGATCGGGGAACGGAGTCGAGCGGATCCTCATCCTCATCAGCGTCCCTGGCCCTCATAAGCGATTATGCGGGATTTGCGGAGATCTACTTGAATACCTTCTACTGCTTGGCCATAATCTGTCTGGTTTCTGTTTTCGATCGGTGAGTTAAAAGATATCGTTATAAATATTTATTCAGGAAGATTTCTCGTATAGTTTTTAGTGAAAAATTAAATTTAAGCCTTGTTTTTCTAGACATTTCATTATTTAAATCTTAAAAGCTTAGCTTTTTCTAATATTAGAGACCTCAAAAGGGTTCCAGTTTAACCACTTTAAATTTCCGTTAAGTCAATAATATAACAATTTAAGTAGCTTTTCTCCACTGAGCTCCTTCGTCGATTCTAATAGTGTCCTTAGAGTCTTTCGATGTCCTTTAGCTTGATTAAAAGTCAATTTGGCCTACGCGCAACCTTCGTCAGCACTCTTCTAAAAATAGGCAGCCATTGGGGGAAACCTTTCCCCGACGAAGGAGTTCGCCTCGAGAACTCATTGACCTCAGGTGGCGGAGGATTCGTTTTCATTGTGTTTCATTGAGCTGGAAGCCAGCCGGATGTGGGTAAACCTCAAGCCATCCGATTTTTTGGTCTAGACGGAGGGGAAACAGCACTACGGAGGCGCTGAAAAGTGTGCTACGAATACAAAGTGTGTGAGCCTCTTCTCGGACTTAATGAAACTGTGACCTCAATTTGGGAACTTGGAACTTGTTCGGCTTCGCGGTCGCATAGAAATAAATTGTATGGCTGGCATTGCGTGGTCGCTTTCATCAGCCACAAAATATTTTAATGCCCTTAAACTTTGCTCTTTTTGCATGCCAAAGTCGCTGCCCACACACAAGCGAGCCACTCTGCCTGCACTCTTGACCTTTAAAGGCTGCGCCAGTCGATGGCACAAGTGTGTGGGTGGTTTTGGGTGGTTGGGTGGCTCGTACTGAACGGAACTGTCTGCCGTTGTTTGGCCATTTTCGGCTGGCAGAAGTGTGAAACTGTGTATGACATTTCGCTTCGTTATCCCACCGCCAGTTGATTTATGTCCGACTGTTGGTTTGCTAAATGTTAAGTATCTCTCCCGGCGTTGGAGTCTGCATCCCTTGACCTTTGCCCCATGCGAAATGGAGCCAGAATCGTAGGATTTGCTTTCAATTAATATGCATGCGGCTAAATGTCAGGACATTTAAGAATTCGTTTGAGTTTTGCTCTTTCTTGCGGCAAATTGAATATCTTGAACTTTCAAACAACTGAACTTCAGTTTATAGCTTTTAGGTTTGCTGTAAGGCTGACTTTTTCAGAAGATAAAAAAGATAATTTAAAATTAAAAGCAAAATCTCTTTTTTAAGAGAGCGCCAAGTTTTTTTGGTTTTTCACACTTCCTTTTTCATTTCTGGTGCCATTCCATTTCCCTACTTGCACTTTCTTATCAGAGATCAAAATGGGACCTCAACTTGATATGCTAATGCAACCTCCAATTAGTTCTAAGGTCAGCTCAAGTTCATTTGACGTAACCTCGTCCTGCTTCAAAGTAATTGTAGGGAGGCTATTTTTAAGACTGTGCGGAAGAAGGCTTGCAAATTTAATTTATAAGAGGACTCACTAAGAAAAATAAATACCTAGTAAAGCAAAAGGCAAAACAGTTGAGATTTTCAAGAAATCTTAGAACTTTTCTTAACTTTCTTCTATCTTTTAACCTTTTAGCATGGACATCTGCCGCTGGAGCTTCTCGAATGCCAGTGAACTGATCTCGTTTCGTTGGCTCATCATCACCATGATCTATGTGGCGACAATAATCCTAACCATATGCTCCGATTCCATCGACGAGAAGCTGTACCTGTTCAACAATAATGCCAACATAACGCTAACGCAACAAGAGATGGTAAGATCGTAAATAAAAGTGATATATATATATATATATATAATATATATATTCCATATTAATTAGCTAAGCAACAGTGTGCAGAGCGTTTGGAGCAGTCTGTCGGTTACGAGGAGCATTGCCGCCATATCGGGATGGATTATGATCGGACTGACGCCGCAGGAGGATATGCTATATGAGCACCTGGTGGATCTTACCAAATATCAGTTGACAAATAATTGAATTTAAGGCGAACGCGACATTATGACAAGTTGTAAATAGTTTTGTAGTTGAATTCTTAGCAGCTGTTGTTCAGTTATTGGCTTTTTATATGTACGGCATAATCGAAACGCAATAGGACTCTTATGTATACCCAAATCTTAAGCTTTAAAGTCGTCTCTTAAGGATTCACATTGATGCCCTTCACAGGCCGCTAGAACAAATCGAAACCAAGATGAAAACCAATTAAATGACAACCACGGAACCTAATGGTTAACCTTCGAGTTAGTTAACTAAGCAAATATAGTAAACGCAGGCTATAGATACAATATAAAGAATGAAAACAAATATGAAATACCTATATTTACCAAATAGATGTATCCATGTACTTATGCATATATACAATATGTTACCTATATAGATATACACATAGCTGATATACATTATATATGCGAATATAGAAATATTTACAATACTTGAAATCATTTTTCTTACACATATCGTCTAAAGAAACGGAATCCTTTGTTTTTTTTTCATCGTTGCGGCAATTTTACAGAATGAAAGGCTTCCCCAAATTAGCTGCTGAGTCGATAAAGGTTGAAAGTCTAACTAAATTAATAATAATTTAAGCAGATGTCATTTGTAAAAAGTTTTGCTAAGCGGCAAACAAATGTGTGTACATAGGAATATATAGAAATTATTTACACTGAGAATGTTGAATTATATACCCAAATAACATTCCAGTGTACGAGTACTGCAGGCTTTAAAGATGTTGATTTCTGTTTTCAAATTAGTTTCTAATTTGCCTTCTTAGTTTGTGATTGATATGATATTTGTTAAATTCACTTTTTTATAAGGCATTAAGACGACAATTTGAACTTTTACCTGAGCTGTAAATAAACCGAGTGCAATAAAATAACGAATATTAAAGTTTAATATACACTAACCAATATACAGAGACAAATGTAATGAAGAAATATATATAGAAAAACGAGCTAACGAATCGATCAAAGCGAATGACAAGGAAATCTCATTGTAAACTTGTATATAAAAAATATAAACGCAAATAAACAAGAATAATGTATAAAGGCATGAAAACGATGAAATGTTTTTCACTAATATGGGGTTACATTTTCTTTGGATGTAATGGGAGATGTTTGAAACTGACTAGGTGGATACTTAAGGTTTTAGAAAATTGAATAGATGCAACTTCACGAATATAATTTTCAATGGCTTTTGGTGGAGAAATCAGATAACTCTATGTTAGTAAGAAGAATGTGCTGTGAATGGTTGCGAAACAGGATAAGAATTGTGTATTTATATTTTTACGATTTGTAGGTGGCGTCAAATGTAATGTAAAAACTTATGTAAAATGTAATACTATGTATATTTGATTAGAATGTTTTTAAAAAAATAATAAACTAAATTAATTTGAATCAAACTGACACTCACAAATAAACTACTTTTAATTTTGCTATAGCCTACTTATATATTTGTATAAATCAAACCTCTTAACATATATTCATATTGCTTATACTGTAGATATAATGTTGATTTCGTGCCAGTTCGTTTCATGATTTTAATTTTATTTTAACTGCTCAGATTATGCTTCTTTTTTAAAATATATATTTCATCCCACAAAGACCAGAAGATACCAAAGAACAAAACGTCTGAGCAATATTAATAAAAATCATGATAAAAATGATGTGACGAAGATTTAATCTTTGCCTCAAGCGATCACACCGTCTCAAAGACAACTTGTTGGTTGTTCGAACAGCTACTTACTTGACAGCACAATCCTTATTATGACGATTTAAATTTGTTTTATGAGATAATGAAACTTAATTTGTTGCCAGCTTGGGCTGTTAAAAGGAATACTTGACAAACGAAACCAGCGGCAGCTCAATAAAAGCAACGATGAGTATGTGTCGGATGTTTATGCTCCTGCCAACGAAAACCCGTCGACCAATAAAACTTTTAATGGCTCGCTAAATGGCTTCAAAGCGAAAACAAAGCTGTTAAAACGAGCGCAACCCACTTCGACCAGCTCGACTCGCAGGAGGCTTGCTCCACAGAATCCAAATTTAAATGTTCCGCTTCATTTGCAATTAATTTTTCATTGCTGTCTTTGCATTCGATAATGTTGGCTTACGATCTTTGTCATGTAAATTTTTAATGTGAATTTTCATAATTATCCAAGGCTCTTCACGAAATTCGATTGAAGGAAGCGTTTTTCTGGCCCAAGTCAGAATTTACATAAATAATTTTTAAACATTTATCGTGTCCAGAGTGAAGTTACAATGATGGGCGCAGACGACAAAGTTCTTCATTCTTTTTTGATTTTATCTAAGCGTGCGTATAATTTTACAAAATGCATAAATTTAGTAAGCTTGTTTTAAGCTTGCTTTTAAATGCATTTCAAAAAAGCCTCTGGCCAAGTTTGACATTTAACATGTAAATCATGTTCTTCGCCAGATAATTGAATGTCTCATAATTAGATGTTGCCGGGGATATAACACAAGTCATTGTCATCGTTATCAGAATCGCCAACGTTATCGGAGTAAACGCATTATCATCATTAAACACTTGCTGCAATTATGGCGCTAATTGAATTTCTAAATGAATATAATGACTCGACAACAACAAAAGCAAAGCACAATAGACCAGGATATACGGTGTTTTGTGGCCTAGCATCTCCTTTACAGAGCCGTGGAAATTATAAACATAATTAAAGTTTAATGTCGACTCTTTGATGCTCTTTTTATGACGGATTATCTTTTTATATTTCTTTGAAAAAGTTGTATAAAATAGGAGTCTATTTATTTATAATAAAATAATGGAAAACCATTTTAATAATATTTAAGGCTTGTCTTTTCTAAAAATCCTTCAAAAATATTGCTGTTAAGTCTTAAAAATGTATTACCTTGTTAGCCATGTCAAACGGAACCGGAAGCCCCATAAGGCCTAAGACCCCAGAATCGTGGCAACAAGCTCTGAGTGAAAAGGACGAGTCTCCTGTAATTAGGTTAAACACACACGTGGCTCCAAGTGCCATTCTGCTAGGGTGTGTGTGTGCTAGTGTGTGGCCGGGCAGGAGATAAAACGCTGCAAAAATGAGGTGAGAAAATGAAATAAAACAACCAACGGCTGGCGCAACGAATAAAAATGGCGCGTAATTTGCACGTTTAACCGCATGACAGCGAAAAAAATTACACACAACCCAAGCACAATAGACAAAGTTACAAACACGTCCTGCCAGAGGCGTTTTTCAAGGGGTTTTCCCTTAAAGGAAAGTAATCCTTAGTTTTTATAAAGATAGTTAGGTTTTATATTTAGATATTATTATGAAAAGATCAAAAGTCCACTATGAAATAGTTTTCATGATGACCCTGCTGATATGTTATCATATATCATGAATCATTCAAAACCCTTCCTATGAAACCCCTTCTCCGCCACTGTTCACTCGTGCGAGCTTGTGGTGTCTAAATTACAATTACATCGCAGCAAAAGCTAGAGCACTCAAGTCGCCCAACTGGCCTTGGGTGGTTGCTGTTGCTCCTGTTGTTGCGGCTCCTGGGCTGGACATTTGAGCATATGGTCGAGTAATTATCCTGTTGCTCTCGCCAACATCTCGGCTTAGCCATCCACTATCCACCGCAGTGCCCTACTTGGGATCCGCTGCTTATCGAAATGCCCATCAAGCTGGCTGGTCGGAGATGAGTTGATTAATTGAAATATTCCGAGCCTACGATTGCTAAGGGGAAACTATATCAAGGGATAGCTCATTGAGAACATATGCTGGCCCGTCACCGGGGTATTCAATAAGGATAACATTATTGCAAGTATCATTTTGAATAATGGGTAGGAAGTGTTTTTCCACTCAAGGCAAAAGTTGCAGTACAATAATTATTAGACATTATAGACTTTTTTCCGAATTTTAAGTAAACTTAAGTAAATTATTAGCTGATGTAATAAAATTTCGAACTAAAACCCATTTCAAATGCTGCCTCAGAAGGGTATCTTAATGTCTCTGGGACTTCATTTTGGCAGGACAAAAACTTGTTGCCTTAACTTTTAATTAAGCCAAGAGTTTGTGTAATGTATCTGGCCGTGCGTCCTTCTGTGCTTCTAGAGAGTGTGTGCGAAATTAACAAATAAGCGTATAAATTATGCCACAACACGCTGACAGTGCACACACACACACACACACACACACGCTGTTATGTCCTTTGTCCAGGATCAGGGAAATATGAGCACCTACTGTGGACGGGCGACATCTGCAGCTTTCCTGCCATTTGGCGTCATTGTCATCGATGTTGCTGCTCCACTGGGCAAAAGAGGGGCAAGGCCCGGAGCCATAGTCATCGCCAGTTGTCAGCTCGCCAGTTGCTGGTAACCAGTAGACCACATTCCAGCCAGCTTCGAATTACATTGGCTTTAAAGCGCAATGTATGTCCGCATGTATGTGCTGGGCCATTGTTATTGTTGCTGCTGGTCAAACATGACACTTGCCAAGACCCAGAAGCTTATTCGGCCAAGAGCAGCGACTTCAAGATAACCATTAGTGTCCAGTAATTTAATTTCTATTATAAAACGACTTCTTATACTCGTACAGTAAGAACTTACTTCTGCAGTAAAATATTTAACTTGCATTTCATAGAATTCTTACCGCTTTTCCAAAGCAACTCATTTTACTCATAAAATCACAGGGTATCAGAGCTCCAGGCGCCATCGAGAGTGTCGCACGTTGCGTATGCGTGATATCGACAATGAACATCAGAGAAGCATCGGGAAAATGGCGACAAAGCCTGGCTGCCAAACATCCTCGTATACCTGAAGGTCCAGGCCCTATGTGGCAGTTACTAAGCTCCGAAACCGTTAACATAGAGGCATCTATGTTGGCCAAAGCTCGCCTGGAAGCGATAAGCCGCATTCGGTGGACCAGGAATGAGTATCGTAAACGACCTGCTTTATTGTTTGTATTTTTGGCCACACATAATGCCGCGGAACTGGCCATTATCAGTTTGTTTGTAAAGATTTTACGATCTCGGCTCTAAATTATTGAGGCATGTCCAAAAGTAGACATTCTTTAACCGAAATGTCCGTCACTAACTTGCCTTCTCATTCCATTGTAGTCGTAAAAGGGAGAAAAAAAGGAAGAAAATTGCAATAAAGTGACCTAAAGGGCAGAAATTATTTTCTGAGCAGGGAACAAGCCTTTTGAGCGGGTCTTCAAGCTAATGAAAAGCACTTGGTTGTCTTCAAATCTCCAAAGCACTCGCCCAGGCAGACAATGTATGGAAAAGTTTTTCCGTTTAAAATTAACTTTAACAAAAAATTAAGGTTCCCTTCCTTGTGTAAGGATTTCTGCAAATATGGAAAGCTATTGTTTTACTTTTTAAAAAGTATAAAATGTATTCAGTTTAACGCATATCTCATTTCCATAAAGTGCAGTTAGCAGTGGCTTTGGTTAGTAGCATTCAGACATGTCAAGGAGTCAAAACCTTTCAACTGGTTTACTATATGCCAATTATTCTTAGCCCTCCACCTCGACGTGGGTATAGCAGCATTGACTTTGATGCCTCAACGTGTTTCGTTTTTTCATAATTTACGAGCCGAAATGTTTCATTTCATGTTTTATGGGAAATAAATTATGACCCCGCCCAGTGTTTCCCATTGACAACGTCAACGAAGGGAGGCCAGGCTAAGCCGGCGATAAGAACTTTTGGCCCAAAAAGCGAACACAAAAAAAAAAAACGAAAAACCAGACACGAAAGATGCCAAAATAATGGAAGAAGAACTGCAAACGGATAGAGGGAAATTTATGTGCGTTTATTGATTGCCGAACGGGAAAACAGCAAAGGATGAAAACTTGTCCAGAAAGCGAGGCGAATTTATGTAAATTTCACTTTGGTTCTCAAAGCGACTTTTATGAAGACGAAGTGCAGCTGGGTCTGGCCAAAAATATAAGAATGAGAAGCCCATAAAGCGGAGGGATTCAATTCTTGTGTCGTCGGGTCTTTTTACAGTGTACACTGAACAACATTTTCAAGTTTTCAGCATTATCTATAAAGATACTTTAACTTAACATAACAAAAAAAGATGTCCAGTGTCTAATAGTCGGCTTGCAGTCAATGAGCCCTGAAAGGAAAAGTCGCCGGGAGTGGCTTCTTAAAGTGACCAGGCCAGAAAGGGATCTGAAGTCCGGGATTCGTCCCAGTTGAAGGGAGAATAAGTTTAGGCAGTAACTTTAACGCCGCATGTGGCCCAGGATGCCCAATCCGAATGTATGCATGTGGGTCATTTATATGCAAAGCATAACCATGGCTCCACAATATGTCGGCTTCTAATAAGCCGGAGAGATGGGGACCCCACCACAAGCACGTATCCCATTCCATCCGGAATGCACAACTCAGGTAGTCTGGACTATAATTTGGTCGTATCGAACTCCTCTAGCAGCAGCAGCAGCAGCTGCTGCCATAAATATAATTTCAATAGAAAAGTTGCCAATATAAGTGCCAAGTATTGTTCGTGCTGTGCGGGAACCTCTCGAACTTCGAACAATTGTAGTAGTTGCCACGTCCCATATTCAGCCAAAGCTAGAGCTAAGTCAAAGACTGTTTTGTGCAGCTTTCCCCCGCAACTCATATCCCATAAACTTTTATGGCCAAATTCGGAAATTTAATTTTTGGCCAAATTTTCGTTTTTTTCACAGGTCGGAGGTCATCAGTTTTTGTAAAAATGGGTAATGCTTCTTTTTCTTGATTTTTATGCCATAGTTCAGGCAAAACAAGTCCTTGATCCAAGTCAAAGACTGTTTTGTGGTAAATCCATTCACTTTCATTTGAATCAAACTAAAATGTCCAAAAGAGTCATTAATCTTTTTGGCAAAGAATTAAAAGCAAAAAGTGTCTTGAAGCAATATCTTCCTTCGACGTCGATGAGAGCTTTAAATAAACTGCAAGTTGAAATGAGTATATTCAGTAAGTTAATATTAATAAGTCCAAACTGAATTTATTATCTTCAATTAAACTCAATTTCGGGTTGACTTTTGGTCTGTCAAGTCTTTAATTTAATTATCTGTAAGCTAAAAAGCAATCAGATGCACAATTAATGAATAAGCAGATAAATCAAAAAGTAAGAAACAATAACTGTGCATTGAAAAAGTAGAATCAGATACTTTTTTCCTTAAAATATTTAAGAAAATGAATTAACCACATTTTTCCCTTCTGGCATCTTAGGCATCATCTTATTAAAAGATGGCCCAAAATTTTAAATTAAATGCTAAAAATACAATCAACAGATGAGAGAAAACAAGAGTATATATACAGATATGTAGATATATGTACCTATAAATATAGAATCACGGCTAAGGTCAGCGACAACTGAGCAGCTGGGAGACAGATAGATATGTTAGAATCTTAGGGAAATAGCAATATGCTGTCTTATTCACTAAGGCAAAGAGTTAAGAGCCCACGATGAAGCAGCTTACACTTTAAATTGATGCTGTGATTTTGGCGTACGTTGTCATTTTTTCTTTAAATTGCTGCCTGGCATATGCGGCGTATGCGCAACACAGATTTACTTCACAATGTCAACAGAGCGTTCGTTCGTCTGGCCTGCATATATATTCTCATACACATACAAGTACATATGGTGTGCGATTAGGTGAAGATGCCTGCCGAGTAAATAAAAATTCATGAAAGCAGCGCTTGAATATGTTACACAAATTTCCGTAAGAGGATGAGGCCCAGACTAAATATAAGGATGAGTCGTCTCAGGTAGAAAGTTGCCATTGTTTATGGTAATCGGCTAAAGGGGCGAAAAAGTGGAGCGTTGTCGGCTGGTTGGATTCTGCGAAAGCGGCCACTATTCAGCTTTACTTCTGCCAGAGCATAAATGTGTCAGGCGAGGTACTTAAAAAATATGAAGCGTAATTCCGAAGGCGGTGGGGAAAAAAGGACGACAGTCAACGAGTCTGAAGGAGTCTCGCCCCAAAGTGGAAACTGTTTGTCGACTTGGCTTTAATAAATAAATCGCAGCTGCATCAGTTGGCACATCCCTTGTAGTCCTTCCAGAATGCCCTTGACTGCTTGTGATTTCCTGTGGAACTTTCCGCCGACAGATAACAAAACAAATAAGGACATGCGAGGTGGGATTTAGACTTGGGGATACCCACTACCGGGGGTTGTCGTTTATCAAAGATACACAAATATTGTTCATTAACAATAACCTTTAACCTTTAAAATAACACTTTTGAATCAAATTTTATGATTAAATATTCACAAATTAAGTAATTGATTAATTCTGATTAGCATTGCTGATACCTTTGTACTACTTTCAAGTTTAGGGTATTAAATTGCGAAAAGTGTCGGAATGAGGTGGCAAGCGTAAGTGGTGAATACATATATGAGGAAGTTAAGTAAGGTAAGCACAGGCTGATGGCGATGATTGGATGAGATAAATTTATGGTTCGTCTGGTTGTGTGGCGGAGAAAAGAAACTTAGAGCTTGATTAGCTAATTGGTTGAGGATATGACAAACCTCAATTACAGCAATCAGGAAAAAGAAAAATAACGCTTTGTGTTCTTTAGAAATTTAATTAATTCCAACTGCCAATGAAAAATGCTGATAAAAATATAAATAGGTAGTTGTATAATTTTCCCTGTAAGGAAACCATAGTAATTTAATCCTTTATAAAGGCCATGACCACTTAACGACCAGAGCCAAGAACCAAAGTAAAAACTTTCGACTTTTAAAACTTCAACATGTCATCAGATTTTTTCGCGGTAGATTCTTAAAGTTCCCTTTACAAAATTCCTTGGTTTCACGGCTCATTAAAGGACAAAAACTGCATTCCACTCATTTCCCTTGCTCGCAGATAATTGACAGGAATCACTCAGCCCTTGAGACAATGGAAAAACCAACTCAACACCCCTGCAATTGAGTGAGTGAAACGCTGCGTATACGTAATATGCCGACGCCAATGCAACACGACTCGAGTTCCTCGGCATTTCACGAGGTCTTATCAGCAGCTAACCTGTTGGTCGGCCACTCAGCCACACGAAGTTGGAGCGTTCAGTTGCCTGTGATTCTTCGTTGACGGCGGACGCGAAAATCGGCAGAAAAACCGGAGAAGAATTCTTAGAAGAGATTTTCTTAAAAGAGGAAAAACTGTCTTCGACGGATGACTGAAATATATTTTCATTGTGCGGTATTAGAACTGATAGCGAAAGTGAGTGCGAGGGAGTGAAAAGGAGACCAAACAAGTGCCGGAACGTGCTCGAGTGCCTCCATCCTTGTGGTTTTTGGTTTTTGTGTCTCGAGCCACTCCCTCCCCCGCCCCCCGTATTTATACACATATAGATAAATATATCCCGTATACGCCGTGTTGACACGTTGGCGGTCGCCAGTTTTCGGTTTTTATTTATACTCTTGTCTGTACTTTTTTCCGCGGTTAGCCGGGCAAAAAAACTTTTAGCTTTCCGCCTTTTGTCTCCGCCCCAACAATAATATTTAACGGCCAGAGTGAGAGTTAAAGTTTAACTGACTGCAAACCAACTTGAAATTAAATCAATTTGCCAAAGCATCTGCATCTGGAGTGGGGAGGTGAGTCTGGGCGGAACCAAAAAAAAAAATGTATTTGTTAATAAGTTTGACATGTTTGTTGCTGGGGCAAGCCAAAGTATATCCACGAGTATATTCATTACGATCCGAACAAATTGAATTCCAGTCAACTTTTCTTGCGGCCTTTTCCTCGGCTCCGACAAAAGAAAAGTTTTATTCCGCTGCCAAAAGAGACCGGCAGAGGCCGGAGTCCCGAAAAAAGCATTCAACTTTTATTTTGTTTTGCGACAAAACAAATAAGTTAGCAGTAAAAAAAACACAGCAAAAGAATGCTAAGCAGAAGGAAAGAGCGGGGCAAAAGAGATAACATTAGGGGAAAACGAAAACCCAATTGCATTTAAAAAGGAAAGAAACGTAAGCGGTGGGGGCAGCACGTACTCTGTTTACTTTTTATGGCCAAATCAAATGGCTTGGCCGTGACTGTTCCTTAATTAAAAATGCAAATTTCCCTTTAATTTTAATGGGTTGTCGAGTCGAGTCAAGGAAGACACAAAGGGCAGAAGAACAGAAGACCAGAAGACAGTCCTAACAACTTTCGATTGATTCTAATTGATCCCCTCTGACATGGATGCCAGTCATTCGGTCGCTCAGTCATTCCGTCATCCATCAATTGTTGATTCGATAAACAAATGCATTGATTGCTGGGACCAACTAGGGCGAAATGCTAATGACCATGTTGTTCAGGTGGGAATTGGTCAAGTTTAGCCGTCGTATACGTAATGTTAATCATTATTGCCTGGGGACGCCGTCTCCATAAGTGATAATCGGGTGTGTGCGTGTGTGTATGTGCGTCGTGAGTGTGGCAACTAGTTGAGAGTTGATTGATGGCCAGATTCAATTATTAGCGAGACTTTGATTTCTCATGAAACTCATTTGCAACTTCTCAAGTATTAAGCTTTAACTTATCTAACTTAATCCGCTCAATCCCAAAATCTTTCTCCTTTTGAGATGCACACTGCGTATACGTGATATGCGTGCACATTTCAGGGATACGATAAGACTGAAGCTGTTTGGAATCCTAACACCAGCTGGTTGGTTCCACCGAAATCCAAAGAAGACCTCATAGGAGGTGGGAGGCAATACAGCTGCGTAAAAAGGAAAACGCATTTCAATTTGCATATCAGACCGCGCCAACGTTCGCTGATGGCCAGTGAAACTGGTCTTCGTGGCAATTTTCAGGTCGCCGAAATTTCGCAATTGAGGCGAAAACTGCTGAGATGCCGCCACGGATGTCCTTGCTCGATTAAGATTCTCTCTCTCGCAGCTTTTGCCTGCCTTTCTTGCCATTTGCATTTAAATCATCTTTGGGCTAGGAAGTAGTTACGAATTGCCGTAGTTTAAGGCTAAAAGTCAAGTGGCAAACATTTTATTTTACCACTTCTAAGCCATAGAGGCTACTAATTTAACTTAGATTTATATTTGCCTATCAAATATTTTCGCATTTCTATCAGGTTTATTGGAATTTTTTAATATAAAGAAAAATATATTTTACGATTTCTTGTAATTTTTGGTAGAAATTGTTGAAAAACCTTTTTTTTCCCAATCGCAATATCCGAATGGATATATTTACATATTTGCAGTGAAAAGTCAAGGGCAAACATTGACTTTTCGTTTGAAAAAAAAGTGTTATTTATGGTATGGTTACTTTCAGATAAAAATAATATTTATTTCCAAAGTGATATGGTAGCGATGGGTTGAAAATTAATCCGTATTTACTGACCCAACTGGTTTTTGATTGCAACTGATATTAATTTAACTATTTTTTGATATAGAAAATAAAGTTCTGAACAAGTTTCAAGCTGAAAAATATATTTAAAAGCACTTCTTATTCAAAATGTTGCCCTGTCTCTGCATGTTTTCCCTAAAAGTACTTGTTTTGTGTCTTTTTTATACAGCTTGCCATTTTTATTGGCTACTAAGTTTTGCATAAATTATGCAAAAGGCTAAAGGTGCATGGGCGTGTACTCAGATATATATATATATATATTATATGTTCGTGTGCTTATGAGCGAAATGGCTTGATAAGAAATGCGTAAAGGCAGGGAACGTCGGCCAGCTGCTTGAATTTATTTGATTTCTCACAGTCGCAAGTCACAGGTGACATTTTTACGGCCAATCTGAGCGATGGCGGACCTGGGCAGGAGGACTCCCTAACTCCCAGAATAACAACAACAACAATTCCGGACAGCTGAGAAACCAAGGAAAAACACATAGACCACGACACGACCATAAAACGATTGCCATTCCCAAGGCCAACAGCCGTTGCCTATGGAATTGCCTTTGACTTGGCATTTGGTCTGGGATCCCATTGCCGCACTGTAATCTGGTTTTTCGAGTGGTTGCCAGTGCTCGGAGTAACCTCCCATTGACAGTCAGTCAGACGATTGTGGCTAGGATTTACAAATTTCTCTAGAGACCAACAACCAACCAACAACCAACCGACGGGGCCCCACTCGATGTTGCCTTTCAATTTACCCCGATGTCTGGTTATGATTTCGGTCCGTGCAGTTGCTCACTTAGCTTTTGTCAATAATTCAGGGCCCACTGGGAGACGACCGGGGAAACAAGCTGGTTAGAAGGCATCCTAATGCAGGCCAAAAAATTAATTGCTTTTCAATTAAACGACGGACGGAATAGGGAGGCCAAACCGAAAAGAAAAATCAGTTCGTTGGAGCTACACGGATTCAGAAACCGCAATTGGGGGCCCGGGGATTTGGGCCGAAGCGTAGAGGCCAGCAACGTAATTAATTCTCTATTCATAATGGAGTCCTTTGGGCTATTTGATTTTAGCAATGGAAGATTCCCAAAAACTGATTTGGTAATCCCCAGATAAGTTCTACTGATCCAATTAAATCCAACTGATTTGATAAGGATAAAATAAGTTCCAAAGCTCATGTAAAAACTTGAAGTCTTTTAAAAAACTTTCTTAACATAAAATGACCTTTGATCCCCAGCAAAGTGAATTTGTTATTTTGCAAGTTAATAGAGTGTAAAGTTATCCTCGTACACTTTTGTCTAAATAATTCATGAAAAAGACCTCATTTAAATATAAATGTAGAAAGAAGAAAAGAAAAAGCGGGAAATTCCCTTTCAAAGTTCCAAAAGAACTTTTCGCTTTGTCATTTCCCCAAAACATAACCTATTTAGAATAATCTATTCGACGCCAAAGTTTTTCTCTGGCGTTTCACTGGAAGAGTATTTATCGATTCATTATCATATCGCTAACAACTGGCCAGGGTCTTCGTCATCGTCATCGTCATCATCATGGCTATGTTGGCAACGTGAAACCTATCCCCACTCCCGAACCCTCTGGTTCTCTCTGGATCCACGGATACTGATGCAACCCCATATCGTGGGTCGAATAGACCACGCGGCCATACCGCGGTTCAAATATCATTAAAATGCAAAAATTGACGTGCTACGTGGAGGAGATTTGAAGCAAGGGAGGGTTATGCTCTGGGCCCACAAAACCCGAGATAATAAGTGGGCGGAACTGGGACTGGGGATGGCTCTCTCTCTCTCTTCATTTTGGTTTAGCGTTGATCCTGGCCATGAAGTGAACATTTAATTAATTTCGTTTGTTGTCTTGGAACGTTGATTAAAACGCCATTTACAACAGTTTGCCTGCATTTAAGTCAGCGCTAAGTGAGTTGCTTATTAATTTGCATAGACCATGCCAAAGAGCTTCCCCTCTCCTCAACAGCACTGCCCTTTTTTCTTGGATACATATACTCGTATAATATATTTATAAATGAACATATTGTAGACATGAATCTGCATAATGATAAATGGAAATTGAGACGAGCCGCGGTATAATCCCGATGAAGGCCAGCAGCTGGGGTGTATCATGGCAACCCCTGGATATCTTAATCGCTCTAAAACAGCTGCCACGCAAAAGGTCGAGTTCTCAATTTGTAAGAGTTTCTTTTCGTTTGAGATTATTGAGGGTTTAGCTAACAGATTAGTTGGTTTGGTAATTGTGCTCTTTAACTTGAAAGTAATGTAGAAGTAATCCGAGTGAATTATATTTTAATTATTTGAAAAGATTAAAAAATGCCATAAAGAATGGCATAATAAAAACATTATAAATATGCAATTTTAAGAGTATGTGTATACCAAGAAAGTAAACAATATTTCCCCCTTATTTAGAATTCAACGAACATAAAACTCTCGAACTTCTTAGGCTCTCGTGTTTTCCCCAGTCGCTATAAAAAATTTACGCCCCAACGCTTTGGTATGGATTTATAACGTAGATGATTTCCGCCTTACTTTCACCTCCCATTTTTATTTTTTAAGACTTTAAAGCTGGTCCAGTTTAAGGATGTGTCTTAGAAAGGATACCCTGTACTTCTGGACAATTTTCCGGTTGCCCAGCTTGGTCATATTAAGGCATTTAGTCAGGCTTCAGCTGACCAAAATGGCAGCCAATTGTTTTGGGTCTCGGGAGCGTTGTCTGCCAAATGGTCGTGGATCCCTCATTATGACTGACGACGGGTAAGGACATTTTCCAGTGCACTGCCTTCTGATAAGGACAGTGATAAAAACAAAGGCGAAAGTGGATTGCCCATCTCGGCGGGCGGGGCAGGACAACAAACCCGTGGAGCGGCACTTAGCCGGCTGAGATTGCTCTCCTAGAGCTGAATTTATGAAGCCATTGTCTCCTGCTTAACCGCAAACGACTTGCAGGGAAGCTGCAGTAAATGGTCAATTAATTATGGTCAGTGCCCCTTGAACCATTCGTGGAACACATGCTGACAAAGTGCATTGGTTATGTGATATATTATAATGAAAGTATAAATATAAGATTTAATATTTATTTATTGGCAATAAAGAATATAGTTAATAAATTACATTGAGGGACTCTTGCAGTTTAATAAAGATTTAAGATTCTTTTATAAATAAAGATATATCAAAAGATCACAAATACATATATCAAAGCAAAAGTTTCTTAACTAAAAGGCTTCCAAGATAATACAATTTTA